AATTTTATGCTCAGTGAGATAAACCAGTCACCAAGGGCCACATATTGTATGGTTTCATTTATGTGAGAAGTTCAGAATAGACAAATCCACAGATAGGAGGTAAGTTAATGGCTGCCAGAAAGACAGGAATATATACATCCGAGAAGCTCAAGTTATATAAACTCAGTGAGATCCACAGCAAGACATATTATAACCAAACTGTCAAAAGACAAAGGATTTTTTAGGCAGGGGGAGAGAAATGACTCATCACATACATGGAATCTGCAATAAAATTAACAGCCAACTTCTCATCAGAAACCATAGAGGCCATAAGGCAGTGGAAGGACATACTTAAATTGCTGGGGAAAAAAACTGTCAACCAAGACTTGTGTATCGATGAAAATGTCCTTAAAAAATGAGGGAGAAATTCAGAGCACCTGGGTGGCTCAGTCAGTTAAGCATCTGCCTTCAGTTCAGGTTGTGATCCTGGGCTCCTGGGATCAAGCCCCATGTTGAGCCTTGGCCTTCTCCCTCTCCTTCCTCCCCCATGCAATCCTCTCTCATGCTCACTCTCTCCAATGAATAAATAAAATCTTTTTTTAAAAAATGAGGGAGAAATTAAAATACACCCAGATAGGGGCGCCTGGGTGGCTCAGTGGGTTAAAGCCTCTACTTTCGGCTCAGGTCATGGTCTCAGGGTCCTGGGATTGAGCCCCACATTGGGCTCTCTGCTCAGTGGGGAGCCTGCTTCCTCCTCTCTCTCTGCCTGCCTCTCTGTCTACTTGTGATCTCTGTCTGTCAAATAAATAAATAAAATCTTAAAAAAAAAATACACCCAGATAAACAAAAGCTGAGGAATTTTGTTTCCACTGGACCTGCCCTAAAAGAAATGTCAAAGGGAGTCCTTCAGGTTGAAATAAAAAGATGCCAGAAAGTAACTCAAAGTTGTGTGAACAAATAAAGCCCTCCAGTAAAGGTAACTATAACGGCAAGGAGAAAAATCAGCGTTATTTTATCTTTGGATTGTAACTCCAACAAAAGACAAATGCACAGAAAAGAATTATGAGTCTTCGTTACCAGGCACACAAGAATGAAGATGTAATCAGTGATGACAATAACGAAAGGTGTGGGGAGAGAGGTGTACAGAAGCAGCATTTTCAGATGCTCCTTAAGTTATGCTGGTATCGATTCAAACAGGATTGTTAGAAATTTATGTTAAGTATGTAAGTATAATCCCCACGGTAACTATGAAGAAAAAAAATCTAATCTACACAAAGGAAATGAGAATGGAATCAAAACAGTTCACTACCAAAAAAAAAAAAAAAAAACCAACCCTCAACTAAACACAAAAGAAGGCAGTAGGGGAGGAAAAGAAACACAAAAACATGTATAAGACCTATAGAAATCAAATAGTAAAATGGCAAAGAAAGTGCACCCTTATCAGTAATCACTTGGAATGTAAGGGGATTAAATTTTCCAATCGAAAGGCAGAGACGGATGGAATGCACTAAAAAACATGATCTAACCATATGCTCTCAAGGGGAGACTCACTTTCAGCGACAGAGTGACTTACCAACCAACAAATGAGCTGAAAGAAAGAGGACAGAAAAATATATCCCATCCAAATAGTAGAGAGCCAGGATGGCTATACTAATAGGAGACAAAGTAACTCTAAGTCAAATATGTTAGAAAGGACAAAAGAACATTATATATTGATGAAACAGTCAGTTCATCAAGAAGATCTAACAATTATAAACATGTACGCACCACACAACACAGTCCCCCAAAAGATGAGGCAAACGTTGACAGAACTGGAGAATCCATTTCACAAAACAGTTGGAGACAGCAGCACACAATTTTCAGTAATGAATGGAACATCTATACAGAAGATCATTAAGTAAACAGAGGACTTAACACAATACTATACACCAGCTGGCCCTAACAGACATCTCCAGAACACTCCACCCCATACCAGCAACATTCTTCTCAAGTGCACACGGGACATTCTGCAGGACAAACCATATGTTAGGCCACAAAACAAGTTTAAATTCATTTAAAAAGACTGAAACATAAATATATATACATATATATGTATGCATATATATGTATATATATACACATATATATTAAATACATATATTTAAAAAAAAGTTAAAAAATTTTTTAAAAATAAAATTTTTTTTATTTAAAAAAATAAATAAAAAGACTGAAGTGATAAAAAGTATCTTCCCCAATCACAACAGAATAAGGACAGAAACCAATACTAGAAGGAAATCTGAAAAACTCACATATACGTAAAAATTAAACACCTTCTTAAACAAAGCACAGGGGAGGGGCCCCTGGTGGCTCAGTCAGTTAAGCTTCTGCCTTCGGCTCAAGTCATGATCCCAGGATCCTACATTGGGCTCCCTGCTCAGCAGGGAGCCTGCTTCTCTCCCTCCCTCTGCCTGCTTGCTCCCCCTGCTTGTGCTCTCTCTCTCTTGCGATCTCTCTGTCAACTAAATAATCATTAAAAAAAAAAAAAAAAAAACAGAGGAAATCAGCAAATACTCTGAAACGAAAGAAAACAAATATGTAACATGTCAGATGAAATGCAGGGAAGGAGCACTCCAGGGGAAATTTATAGCTGTAAATGCCTACATTAAGAAAGGGAGAAGCTCTCAAATTGATAAAACTAATTTTACACATTGAGTTTCAAAACAGAAAAAGAGCAAATGAACCCAAAGCTAAGACAATATAACTACTGAAGAGTAAAGCAGAGATAAAAGAAATACAGAACAGAAAAATAACAGAAGAAACAAAAAACTGATTCTTTGGGGCGGGGGGGGGGGGGGGCAGAAACAGATCCATGAAACTGACAACACTTTAGGTAAACTGACCAAGAGAAAAAGGGTGAAGATGTAAATAACTAAAATCACATATAATAGTGGGGACATTACTACGAACCTCACACTAATAAAAAGGATTATAAGAGAGTACTAGGAACAACTATATGGAAACAAATGAGATAACTAGATGACATGATAAAATTCCTAGAAACACGAGAATCACCTAAACTGACCCAAAAGAAATAGAAATCCTCAATAGGGTGCCTGGGTGGCTCAGTGTTTTGGGCGTCTGCTTTCGGCTCAGGTCATGATTCCAGGGTCTTGGGATCAAGCCCCGCATCGGATCCCCTGCTCGGCGGGAAGCCGGCTTCTCCCTCGCCCACTCCCCCTGCTTGTGTTCCCTCTCTTGCTGTCTGTCTCTCTGTCAAATAAATAAAATCTTAAAAAAAAAAAAAAAAAGAAAACTTCAACAAACCTTCAATAAAAGATTGAATAGGTGATCAAAATTTCCCAACAGAGAAAAGTCCAACTCTTAGGGCTTCACTGGTGAATTAAAGCAAACATCTGAAGTAGAACTGACACCAAGTTTGAGTTTCTCAAACTCTTCCAAAAAATAAAAGAGTAACACTACCGAACTCATAGCCTCGTTCTATGAGGCCAGCATCACCTTGATACGAAGGCCAGATTAAAACAACACAGGTTGGGGCGCCTGGGTGGCTCAGTGGATTAAGCCTCTGCCTTCAGCTCAGGTCATGATCTCAGGGTCCGGGGATCGAGCTCCGAATCGGGCCCTCAGCTCAGCGGGGAGCCTGCTTCCTCTTCTCTCTCTCTGCCTGCCTCTCTGCCTACTTGTGATCTCTATCAAATAAATAAATAAAATCCTTAAAAAAAAAAAAAGACAACACAGGGAAAGAAAATCACAGAGCAACATCCCTGATGAATACGAATGTAAAAATCCTTGACAAAATGCTAGCAAACTGCACCCAGCAGCATATTAAAGGATCATACGCTGTGACCCAATGGGATTTACCCGAGAAACACAAGCGATGATTAACACCAATCAGTGCAACACATCACATTAATAAGACAAAGAGGGGGAGAAACAAATACTGATCATCTCAGTTAACAGAGAGAAAAAAACAACAACAACACCCTTTTATGCACAAAAACACTCAACAAACTAGGAACAGAGGCAATTTCCTCAACCTGAGAAGGGCTTCTGTGAACATCGCACACGTATGGTATCGATGGCCAAAGACTGAAAACTTCAAAATTTTACCCCTGAAATCAGAAACAAGATGAAGATTCTCACTTTTGCTATCCAGCACTGCCCTGGAAGTTCTATCAGATCGATTAATGAAGAAAAGAAATAAAAGGCATCAAAACTGGGGAGGAAGAAGTAAAATGCTCTCTGTTCACACATGGCATGATCCTGCATGTAGAAACACCCAGAGTCTACGAGAAAGCTGCTAGAGGTAACGAACGGGTCCAGCAAGGTTTCAAGGCACAAGATGAAAGGGAAGTAGACTGGAGGTTACCAGGGGCTGAAGGGGGGAAATGGGGAGTTATTGCTTAACTGGTACAGGTTTCTATTTGGGGTGATAGGAATGTTTTTGAAAGAGATGGTGGTGATGTTTACCCAATGTCGTGAACGTACTGAAGGGCACTTAAAATGGTTAAGACTGGCAAGTTTTCTGTGATAGATGCCTTACCACACATTTTACTGATTTACAAATGCATGTTACACTATTTAAGAGAATTGAGCTACCTCGTAAGTTAAACCGGTTTTTTGAGTTCAGGCTGTTCATGTGCGTTGATAAGACATTAACCCAGCTCTGCTTTACTACACCAGGATGAGTTGCAAAGAACAGTCAGGACTTTCGTATCCGCAATTTTAATTCATTAAGCTTCAATTCTTACAACCGAACAGCTGCCAATGGGTTTTCTATAACCAAAAGCTGCCTTCGCAGACATAAAATAAAATTTAAAAAATCTCATATTGACCTGTAACTTTTATATTTTGACCAATTTAAATATTTTCTATAATTTTTAAATTTTCCAAAAGACTAAAAAAAAAAAAAAAAAAAACCACAACAACACAAAAAACTCTCGGGGTCGGGGGACAATTCCCCAAACCGGAATTACATCCTTCTGAATAACAAATAACAATGTAAGAAATCAAAGTCCTCGTACCTCCCCAGGTGTCGACGTGAATTTTTTTCCACCACACATACAGGAAAAGAAGAGCAGACAGGAGGAACTGGGAAGTGGTGTTTGCCCAGGCAGATCCTCTGAGGGAGAGAACGTGATCATTCCCTGTGAGTGTCTTCTGTGCAAGTACAAAGAAACAGGCTACCCCTGACGAGCTTTGGCTCCATTAGAGAATCAGTCTTTAGAAAAGCCTAGAACCCGGGGGTGCCTGGGTGGCTCAGTGGGTTTAAGCCTCTGCCTTCGGCTCAGGTCATGATCCTGGGGTCCTGGGATCGAGCCCCGCATCGGGCTCTCTGCTTGGCAGGGAGCCTGCTTCCTCCTCTCTCTCTCTGCCTGCTTGTGATGTCTATCAAATAAATTTTTTTAAAAATCCTAAAAAAAAAAAAGAAAAGCCTAGAACCCGTAAGCTACCTTTTAATGGTCTAAATACAGTACCCACTTAAGACAGACTTGTTTTCTTTCTAGCAATGCTAAATTTTGGAAGACCCAAAGGTGACTACTCATCATCCAAAAAACAAAAAGAACATATAAACATGTGTCACCATTCTTTGTCCTCACAGCCTCAAATAACCCATCAGATAACTTCTTACACATAGATACATGGAGTATCAAAACACAGCTACTATGTTCAAAATACTGGTCTAAGGTTCATAGCGGTATTACTTCTCAAGATTGTAATAAATTGTTTACTATTACAAGATAACCTTAGAACATCCTCGACAGATATTTTATCCCAGGGATAAAATGATGCCACGTCCTGGCACAGGGAGCCCGGGGATGCTTGCTTTCTATTTTTTCACTTCACTCTTCTGACCGATCCTTGAATTTTATCACCGATTAATCCATTCCCGTGGGTTCTTCTCCTCTTACCCAACTACCCCCCCAAACTGTCCTTTGTAGATTTGTTCAAGAAACTTTTTTTTTAAAAAGATTTTTCTTTATTTATTTTGTTCAAGAAACTTCTAAGAGAGGGTCTGTAAGGTTCACCTGCAGGGGAAACCCGGACCCCCCACTTAGCTGTTTATGTGGGTTGACGTCACCAGTTCACAAACCTGTCGACTCTAACTCACCCCCCCCACCCCCACCCCCAGCCAAAGCCTCTTTCAGCTCTTGGCATAAAGATGTTACAAAACTTTTTTCATTGATTATTCTTATACTCCACCTCTCCACTCTCCTTTATTTAATGTCTTTTATATATATTTCGTACTGCAAGTAACAGTAGGAAAGAAATTTTCTATCACTACCTGGTACCCACAACAATATGTGTACACACGTGCACACACATGCAGGAACAAACGTCCCCTGAAAATACGCCCGTATCTTCTCACGTTTCCTATTCTATCACATTTTATTCTATGTCATTCATAATATACCTCATTTTTTAAAGTGTCGATCAAGACCCGCTAAACCAGTTTTCATTTAGGAAGAAACACGGTGCCCTAAGGCATCCAGACACTGCCAGGGCTCAGGGCTGCGTCTCCAGGCACTGGTGGGACCAAGCCCGCCACCTGCAGGGGAGGCGGCTCTGGGCCAGCGCACACTGGGAGGTTTAGGGGAGGGATAGACCGCATGGCGCCTCCATGGGATCCTCATGTTCTCCAGCTTCATAAAGATGGAATTGGCTCAATTTCCTACAACTCAGAGAGAGTGGGAAAATTCCCCACCGTGCTCTGCCCCTGCTCCTGCCTTTGCTTAGGTTCCCACCTCCGTCTGCACAGGCTCCTCAGGCTAACTCCAGTCTGACATGCAGGTGCCGGCTCACACAGCACTTTTTCCAGAACATTCTCCCTCATCTCCCCCAACTAAGCCCCTCACTCCCTCCCCAAAGCCTGGACTGGCTGCCCCTCCTGAGCACCAGCCCCTGCCCTGTCTTAAGGGACACCTGTCAGGGCTCCCTCCCGGGCTGCCTCACTCCCCCATATCCCAGCCCCTCGGACTGGAGCTGGCACCCAGCACGCACTCGGGATTTGGGGAATGAGAGGGTCGCTACTTACACGACACCGAGGTCCAGGGCATAGAGCAGGAGGCCGTTCATGCCCACGTTGATCACATTCGCTGCAATCCCAGTGATCACTTGCGGCATGATGATGCCCTAAAATCCCCAAGAAGAAAACAAATAGCCTTTTTCAAGAGCTAATCAGGTGGCATGAAATAAGGGAAGACACATACACTAGTCTCGGCCCCTCTCTCCCCCCAGTTCCCCGCACAGAGCTCCTAAATCCCTTGTGATTCCCCCAGGGATAAGAGCACCAGGGGGAGTCCTTTGTTCTAATATATGGTCTTCAACCCGGGTTCTTGACATGGAGTTCCTAAATCCTTTGGAATGTCTTAGGTGACAAGGGTGCCCTCTGTCACAATGGGGGGACTGTGAGTGGGCTCCCGGATGGGAACTGGTCACCAGAAACACCAAGCCAGGGTTAGAAGCTCAACTGTTTCAGCCCCTCTCTCATAATGATCAATCTTGCCTCTCCCAAAAGCACACGATTCAGGAAACTTCCAGGCTGGTGAATGTAAGGACGTGATGGGAAGATGGCACCCCTTTCCCACAGACCTCGCCGGCGGGGTGGGTGCTGTCGGCATTCTTTGTCATTTCTTCTGATAATGAACTGGTAGATAGTAAGCAGGCTTGTCCTCGGTTCCCTGAGTCGCTCTAATTAAATTAGTGGAACCTGAGCAGGGGGTCGTGGAAGCTTCCGATCTGCAGCCTATCGGTCACCCAGGTGCAGCCTGGACTTGCCATCGGCATGTGGAGGTGGGGAGGCTAGAAGGTGGGACGAGCCCTCCACCTGTGGGCGGTCCCCGTCCATGCAGGCAGAGAGCGATCGAATAATCGAGTTAAGAGGTAGGCCAGGCAGCTGCTCTGGTGGGACTGTGTGGTGCGGAAACAGCCACCACGCCTCCCGGGGAGGGAGTCTGTGAGAGCGATGAGATAGGCAGGAGGAAGAGGGAGTCTTCCTAACAGGGGAGCAATCCGAGTTATGGATTTTTTATGTCATTTTAAATGACAGCACAGGGCAATCGCCGGCCTGCCTCTCCCACAGCTCACGCTCACGTTCTTGCCCTCTGACAAATACAATCTTAAAAAAAAACAACAAAGAGTGGCTTCAGTGCACAGAAGTCACACGGATGCAAGCAGGCAGCTCAGGAAAGAGGGACTGGGGAGGGTGGCGTGGTGAGCCAGAGGTCACCCCTCACCTCTACCCTTGCCCGTCTCACCTGTGTCCCTTCTCCCTCGGGTGTACTCGGGGCACCGTGAACCCTGGGCACTTCTGGGGTGTGGCCCTTGGAACTCTGCAATCTCTTCCCCAAAAACAGAGGCACCAGGGCCAGGCCTGGGCCCAGACGCCGAGCTGGTAGGTAGCCCACGGGAGAGGTAAGGGGTGGAGGGTGCGGACTGCACAGTAACACCAGGGGTGGGCGCAGGAGTCAGTCAGATGGAGACGGGTGTCTCCCCTGAGCTGGACAAAATCCATCCATGAGACATCAGGTCTCCCCAACAAGGAGCTCTGGGTAGAATTCCAGGAAAAAAATAAAACAAAACAACAAAACCTGTGAATTACTTTCATAGAAAATGCCCTAAGAATACTTTACATTTTCAGTACCGTGGAGTAAGAAAAGACAAAGAACCTGTACCTGGCTTTGCAAATATCTCGTCTGCAGCTGGAAGAGGAAGGCTGCCTGTAAGATGAAACCGGAAACGCCCTCGTTAATATCAAAGTGTCATTCCAACAGTCCCTGTGAGTTCCGTTTTTCAAGATACTTCCTCTTGATGAAAGACCACAAAATCGGAGAACCAGAGCCACACCATTAAATGCTAGCATGCTGTTTGGAATCTTCCAGAAAGGACTGCCTGACAGAACGGACAAGTCAACCTCTAACTGGCTGAAGCAGAAAATAGCTCACTGTCTTGACATATGAACAGCTCTGAGGGTACCAATGGCGGGGGGGGGGTACCTCCCCAAATCCCCGGGGAGCCCCGGAAACATCCTGATTAGCTTGCAATCAAGAGTAATCATGGCATAAGGAAGGGAAGTTCTTCCCATGATCAGCGTGTGTATTTCCTGTAAGCTGCTGGACCTCAAAGTGGTACGAGCTTTAAGAATCAGAAAGGGAGGGATGGCAGGTCCAAGAGATACTTGCAGAACGGACACAGGAACAGCATTATATAAATGAAAGGACGGAGACACACACATGACCACATTCATGAACGGCTTCACACGGTGCAACGCAGGGCGCCTGGGTGGCTCAGTCGGTTGGGCGTCCGCCTTCAGCTCCGGTCCTGATCCCAGCGTCCTGGGATTGAGCCCGGAGTTGGGCTCCCTGCTCAGCGGGGAGTCTGTTTCTCTCTCTGCCCCTCCCCCCGCTCATCTTCTCGCCCTCTCTCTTTCTCACTCCAATCAATCAATCAATCAATCAACGTTTAAAAAATGAAAGATAAAAAAAAATACCCTTGACACTTACAGGAAGAGCAGGAATAAAAATCATCACATAAATCTGGGCTATCCTGAAATATACAACAAGCAGCCGTTGGTTAACGTTCAAACAATTGCTGATCATAGTTCCTCAAACTGAATCCATGCAGTACTTCCTAAAAATTAAAACTGAACATAATTTACATGGGGAAATTTAATGCTCTTATGAGACTTTTTCAACAACCCAAATCAACCCTACAGTAGGCAGGCTGCAGGAAAGCCGGACTTCACACCTCCCAGCTCGTTCTTCGCCAAAAGGTAGAAGGAACACACAGCAACATGAACTGGAAACTGGGCAAGAGTTAGAAACTGAGTCAGGACTGTAGGTGTATCTCACACTGAAGCCAGCCAAACAGTCTTCCAGAAGAGCAGAGATGCCTCCCCGCATCCCACGTACCCTGTAGGCGATCCCACAGAGCTTGCTGGAATTCTAGCTTAAAAAGTAAATAAATAACACCCCAACTCGTAAAACAAATGGGAAGAAGAAAAAAAAAAAAAACCGGGAAGGAGACTGTGTTGCCGTTCTGCTTCTGGGAGGAGAGAAGTACTCTGCGCGTTTACAAAACACACTTTCTTGTCCTGCATCTTTTCACTCGGGACATGGCACCAGGTCACTGTGTCACCCCGTGTCAAGTGGTCCCCACCAGTCCTCTCTCCTATGGTCCGCACGTCACAGCTTCTGTTTGCCACAGGATTCAAGTCCAGGGAACGTGGACGTGGGAAAGAGGACCAGACAGCCCCTTACTCTGAACCTGGGGTTCTGACATGAGTGACACTGCTGACCTGGAGACTTCGGGGTCTTGCTTTAAAAGCAGGAGGATGCGCTCCGTGTTGATGAAGACGGCCCAGCACGGAAAGCAGCACAGCAGCAAGATGAGGATTCCTCTCTGAAGGATGATCCCCACGCGTTTTAGGTTCTTGCCTCCAAAGGACTTGAGAGAAGAAACACATAACGGTAAAGAACACCACGGTGTGGGGCACATGGGTGGCTCAGTGGGTTAAGCCTCTGCCTTCAGCTCAGGTCATGATCAGGGTCCTGGAATCGAGCCCCGCATCGGGCTCTCTGCTCAGCAGGGAGCCTGCTTCCCCCTCTCTCTGCCTGCCGCTTTGCCTGCTTGTGCTCTCTCTCTCTGGCAAATAAATAAATAAAATCTTAAAAAAAAAAAACTTAAAACTGACTTAAATATAAAAAGAGTGCCACGGTGTGCTGAGAGCCATCTGGGAGAGGCACAGGGCAAGCTGCGTGTCTGGGACCGGGGAGGGACACGGCAGCTGCCCCAGTGGCCTCCACAGTGAGACAGGGTCGATGGAAAAATGACATAACCTGCTGAAGCCTAGGAGGGACAAGGGTACAGAAGCCAGAGCTGAGCAGCCACTGGGTGGCAAGAGCACGGAGAAGAGAGCCGTCCAGGGGAGGACAGGGCAGGCCCCAGACAGAAGCAGACCCGACCCAGGCCGAGGGGCTGTGACCTCACAGTGGCCTGGCTGAGTCTGGGTCTCGTGGAGCTTTTCCCACATTCCCTTTCCTTCAAGTAACCAGAATGATTATCTCCTTTCACACCCAAAAGGGGTCTACCTAAAAGTACAGTACAAGAAGCAATATAAACAAAATTTTTTTAAAAAGCAATATACATGACAAATAATATTATAAAGGGAATGTGTGCACCTGCTTCATTCCACGTTCTCCAAAACACATGGTTTAAAACCATGCAGATTTTGGAATGGTGTGGATGTGTGAGTGTACACAGATGGAAGTGTTTGGAGGACAGTCACCAAAAAGTTAATAGAGATAACTCAGAAGATTAAATTTTAGTGATTTTTCCCCCATCTTGTTTAAATATTTTTCTACGTAATCTGAGGTTTCTATATGTACTTGACCTTTAACTATCTTTTTATTTTATTTTTTATTAATTTTTTTTACAATCTTTTTAAAAGGCTATTTAAGGGGCGTCTGGGTGGTTAGTCGGTTGAGCAGCTGCCTTGGGCTCAGGTCATGATCCAGGGGTCCTGGGATTGAATCCCACATCAGGCTTGGAGAGCCTGCTTCTCCCTCTGCTGCCCACCCCCAAGCTTGTGCTCTCTCTGTGTGTCAAATAAAAAAGAACTTTAAAAACTAAGATTAAAGGGATGCCTGGGTGGCTCAGTAGGTTAAGCTTCTGACTTCAGCTCAGGTCATGATCTCAGGGTCCTGGGATCAAGCCCCACATCAGGCTCTCTGCTCAGTGGGGAGCTTGCTTCCGCCTCTCTCTCCTGCCTCTCTGCCTACTTGTGATCTCTCTCTCTCTCTCTGTCAAATAAATAAATAAAATCTTTTTAAAAAATAAAAATCCAGGAAACAATGTGCTATTATGGAATACATTTACTAATACAGAAGAATGCCCATTATATATTGAAAGATGGTGAAATAAATCATAGATGTAGTCTTTGTTTTTTTTAAATATGAATAAAAATAAATGGTGCAAGAAAAGGACAAAAAACTAGTTTAAAATAAAAACTCACATCCTACACCATGCCAATCCAGAGCTAACTTGAGCTTAAATCGCATTAATTCCTTTAGAGCCATGTCTGGCTTAACCCATAGAAACCATCTCGGGACACCTTCATGCACAAATTGCCGTGGAGCTGCACAACAGCTCAGGAGACACCCCATATGCCCAGTGCTGCTCCTTCCTTGGGACACAACCCTGTCCTCACTCTCCCAGGCATTGGGTTTGAAGGCAGGACCCATTCGTCATACATCCACCCACCCACCTATCCACCACCCATCTATTCACTCATTCATCTACCATCTACCCAACCATCTATCCATCCATCCACCATCCACACAACCACCTATCCACCATCTACCCAAACACTTATCCACCTGTCCATCCATCATCCATCTACCCAACCATCTGTCGACAGCATCTACCCATCTCTGCCTGCTTCCCTGCCTTCCTGTCACTCATTCAACAAACTTCCAGTGTATAGAAAGCACAAGGCTGAACTTAGGGATTCCAAGATTGAATGGGATAAAGCCTTTCTCCCCAAGCATCTCGGATCCTATAGGGGAAACCACTGTGCTTCTAAAGTAGGTGGATGAGGGCGCCTGGGTGGCTCAGTGGGTTAAGCCTCTGCCTTCGGCTCAGGTCATAATCTCAGGGTCCTGGGATCGAGTCCTGCATCAGGCTCTCTGTTTGGCAAGGAGCCTGCTTCCTCCTCCTCTCCCTCTCTCCCTGCCTTTCTGCCTACTTGTGATTTCTCTCTGTCAAATAAATAAATAAAATCTTAAAAAACAAAAAAGTAGGTGGGTGAGATGGAAGACAGACCTAGGATTGAAAGGCCTGGATCAGAATATGACTCTCCTCTGATTATGCTAGCACACCCAACCAGAATTCCCAATCCCATGACAGCCAGTGAGGACAGAGAGAAATGAACAGATTCTCTGCTAACATACAGAGATGGGAGATAAAGGATTCTGACTTGAGTGGAGGACAGTGTATTCTTGTGAGAGAAACAGTTCAGGTGGGAAAGTCTGATGAGTATAGTTCTGGTTGAGCTGAGTTTGAGAAGTCTGGAACATGACCAACTTTCAAGCCTGGACCTCAGGAGACAGATGGGAGCGGGAGATGGACACATGAGTCTTCAACACCGGGTGAGGGAGGGCAGTTTTAGGGTGGGAGAGATCATAACAGGAAAGAAAAAGGAAAGAAAGCCCCACCTGAGCACATAGGGAAGCCGACTCTCCTTATATCCAGTCACCAGCAGCATCATATTTGATAAAAGGCAACAAAAGCCACAGAGGGGACAGTCCCCTACGTGGTTTCCCACAGGAAACGTAACTGACCAAAACGAGTCCTCACCTGAGACATCAGAGTGTCGCAAGCGGAGGCCAAGCCAGTTCCCACGGAAATCCCAATGACGTTCACCACCTGCAAGGAACAACACGGAGCTTGCGCCAGCACCCCGGGGACCAACGGGGACAGCGGCTCCCCCCACACCAAGGAGTGAATATCTCCGAGGAGCAAGCGGAAGGCTTTCTCCTTCAGGTTGAACGGCTGACTGTCAAGTGTAAACAGAAATGCAGCCTCTGATGAGAGGATCACAATCCCTTCGTGTCGACAAAGGTGTCTTACCACCTAAGTTTTCTCCACACAGTGCCCATTGCGACATCTCTGTGAAGAAGTGAGGTTGTGACTGGCAGCTGACAGCAAGGTCCCTGATCCTCGATGCACGAGGCAAACCTGTCCTGAGCAGGTGCCACGAGCTTGCCACAAGTTCCAGAAAGCTACGGCCATCCAGGTAGTGGCGTGAGGCGGGGAAGGCTGGCCCCGGGCTTTAATCCTTTAGTGAGACACGGGGACTCGTTCTGGGTCACCCACTGGCTTCGGCCTCAGCCTGGGCCCCTGGAGACAATGGAGAGCACAGCCCAATGTGTTGTTTTGTAGTGGCCGGTAGGGGGTAGGGGGGAGCTGGAGGCCCTCGTTTTCATACCCCATCTCATCTTTAGCAGGGAGGTCGACCCCCCGGTGAGTTAATTTCTTGGCTGACCAAGGTCACGGACTCTAGCCCCCCCGGGGAGTCGGTGACAGGCCACACGCGGAGCAAGTCCCCAGGTCCCGGGCCAGGGCACAGCAGGAGGCACCCACGCCAAGACACCCTGTACTCTGCTTGCCAGCCCAGGGCAGCGTCAAGGTTTAAAACTCCATGGGGCGCCTGGGTGGCTCAGTGGGTTAAAGCCTCTGCCTTCGGCTCAGGTCATGATCCCAGGGACCTGGGATCGAGCCCCGCATCAGGCTCTCTGCTCAGCAGGGAGCCTGCTTTCTCCTCTCTCTCTCTCTCTCTCTGCCTGCCTCTCTGCCTACTTGTAATCTCTGTCTGTCAAATAAATAAATAAACATCTTTAAAACTCCAAACACTCCTCAGCCTTCCAGGAAAAGACAGGGAAGCCCCCCTGTTCCTCTTCCTGGAGGGCTCCGAGTCTCTCCCCAGGTCAGGGTCCTTGTCAGAGTCTGCCCTGACTCCCGTCAAGGGCTGCTAACCCCAAGCTCTGACGTCACCCCCTTCCCATACGGTGACTGCCTGTATGCTCAGCCGGTTCTGGACTTGCCCTGTATCTCCGTGGCAAGCTGTCCAGGACACCATCTTCCACTTTACCAAAGGAGGCAAGAGACATTCCTCTGACTCGGTATCAGAAAGGCCGTCCTTCCCCTGAGTACAGGGCTCCGTAACATCTTGGGCATGCTGGGAATTTCTGGAAACTACCAGGGCGGGGAGTCCAGAGTACAATTTGCACCTTCTCGGGTGCTAACCACTCCCAGCTGAGTCTTTTTCTGTGCACGTTTCTTTGACCCTATCCTACCAGCTATTTATTTATCCTTCTGTCTTGGAAGTATTTTTATAAACCAACTCAAACTTTTCAGGAAGCAAGGTAGAGTATAAATAAATGTTCCCAGGGGGTGCCTGGCTGGCTCAGCTGGTAGAGTATGGGACTCTTGGTCTTGGAGTCGTGAGTTTGAGCCCCACGTAAGGGGGAGAGATTACTTTAAAAAAAAAAATTTAATGTTCTTTTCTTTTATTTTATTTTAAAGATTTAATTTATTTATTTAACAGACATAGATCACAAGTAGACAGAGAGGTAGGCAGAGAGAGGGGAAGGGAAGCAGGCTCTCCATTGAGTAGAGAGCCCGATGCAGGGCTCTATCCCAGGACCCTAAGATCATGACCTGAGCCGAAGGCAGCAACTTACCCCACTGAGCCACCCAGGCGCCCCTTAATCTTCTTTTATTTTAAAAAACAAACACTTTGGGGTGCCTGGGTGGCTTGGTCATTTAAGTGTCTGCCTTCAGCCCAGGTCACGACCCCTGGACCTTCGGCCCAGGTCACAACCCCAGGATCGAGCCCCGCATTAGGTCTCTGCTCAGTTGGGAGCCTGCTTCTTCCTTGCCCTTCCTCCTAGTTGTGCTTTCTCTTTCTCTCTCTCTTTTTCTCTCGCTCTCAAATAAATAAAATCTTTTAAAAATATATAATTTTTAAAAACACACTTTGATAAATCCTCTCATTCCACCGACAATTTTTCATAAGGCAGAACATTTTTAAATGTATCCAGCTTTCATGAATAGTTTTTTTTTTTAAGATTTTATTTATTTGACAGAGAGACAGCGAGAGAAGGAGCACAAGCAGAGAAAGTGGGAGAGGGAGAAGCAGGTCTCCCACCAAGCAGGGAGCCCAATGTGGGGCTCCATCCCAGGACCCTGGGATCAAGACCTGAGCCAAAGGCAGACGCTTAGTGACTGACCCACCCAGGCGCCCCTCATGAATAATTTTGATACTGGGCCTGCTGTCTTCTTAGAAATTAGTTATAGCTTAACAGCTGGTTAATAAAAGCCAAAGCAAGCTAGTGGGACTACACCACACTCAAAAGCTTCTACCCCGTAAAGGAAACCACCAACAAAATGCAAAGCCAACCTACCGAATGGGAGAAAATATCTGCAAATCGTGTATCTGGTAAAGAGCTCATCTACAAAGAGACGAAGAACTCATCCAGCTCAACAGTAAAAGAACCCCAAACAACCTGATTAGAAACTGGGCAGAGGATCTGAATACAAATTTCTCCAAAGACATACAAAGGACCAACGAATGTTCGAAAAGATGCTCAACATCACTCATCCTCAAGGAAATGCAAATTAAAACCACAAGGAACTACCACGGCACACCTGTGAAAGTCTGGGACAGAAAATAAGAAGTGTTGGAGAAGATGGGAAATTCTTGTTAACTATGGGAGGGGACGCCAACTGGTGCAGCCACCTGGGAAAACACTAGGAAGGATCCTAGAAAGCTTAAAAACAGAACTTCCATACGATCCCACGATCCCACTTCTGGGTTGTTTTCTTTTTTTTAAAGATTTTATTTACTTATTTGACAGACAGAGATCACAAGTAGGCAGAGAGAGCAGGGGAAGCAGGCTCCCCGCCAAGCAGAGAGCCTGATGCCCAGGATCCTGGGATCATGACCTGAGCCGAAGGCAGAGGCTTTAACCCACTGAGCCACCCAGGCGCCCCCCAATTCTAGGTATTTAACCAAAGAAAACAAAAACACTAACTCAAAAAGATATCTGCCCCCCCGCCCCTCCATGTTCACTGCTTATTCCTAAGCCAAGATAAGGAAATGACCCAAGTGTCCCCTGATGGATACACGAATAAAGAAAATGTGGTCCACACCCACGTGTGCGAGCTCCGACACACAGTATGACTCAGCCATAAAAAAGAAGAAAATCTTGCCTTCTGTCATGACATGGATGAACCCTGAGGGCATTATGCCAAGTGAAATAAGCCGGTCAAAGACAAATGCTGTAGAATCTCACCTATATGTGAAATCTGAACAAAAGAAAACTAAACACATAGATACAAAGGGCAGACTGGGGATTATGAGAGACTGGGGGGTAGGCTGGGGGCCGAGGAGCTGGGTAAAGGCAGTCAAAGGGCAGAACGTTCCAGCGACAAAATATGTAAATGTGGGAATACAATGTACAGCATAGGGACTATAGTTAATAATACCGTATTGCACGTTTGAAAATTACTAAATCTTGGAAGATTTCATCACGTGGAAAAAAGTCTTGTGTTTAGTGACAGATGTAACTAAATTTATAATGGTGATTATTTTGCACTATATACACATAACAAATTATTACCTTATACACCTGTATGTCGATTATTACAGCTCAGTAAAAAAATAATAATAATAATAATTTTAAAAAGTTTTTAAGAAAAGACACTGGGAAAGAAAAGTTTGGAAGCTGGAAGGTAGACCCCTTCCCCCCACTATGGGCCCCATGGAGAAACAGAGAGAAAGTGTCCCTTCAAGTTCCCAATAACAACCCAGTATTAATATCTGTTCACAGCCAACAGAATGACCAGGAGTTCAAGGTGTCTCAGGGGCCACAGTGACCTGTGGGGGGAGGGATCAAGTTCATCCTCTCCAGGGGACATAGTTAATAGCCGATCTATAAAGCTTCTCTTCTTTCTTGACTCTTTCTAGAAGCCCCACGTAAACTTTGAAAGGAAGCAGAAATATCCCTTCACCTGAATTAGTTCACTCAATGACAGACTTGTAAATAAAACGCCTCATTCCACATAGTGAGGTCGTCCCAGCCATAAAGCCAACCGAGAAACTTCGGTGGTCCCGCCCTCATCTCGGGGCACAGATCCACCTCCAGTGGGGGCAGAGGGGACATTTTCTAAGACTGGGAGATTCACCTTGCCGTCACCCCTTGGAAGGGTTTTTCACTTTCCCTGAAAGCCTGGATGAAAGGCAAGAGCGTGGCCCCTTTCCATTACATCACTAACAAAAACCCAGGGACAAAAGACCTTGAAGGAGGGGCCATTTCAACCCACGGCCCACGGGGAGCCACTTTAGGACGAGTGTGAAATACTGCGTCCATCACGAGCTGTGTAACTCGAACCAATGGCAGACAACCTACATTACCTCTAAGTTCTTTGATTTGATTTTGTAACGGGGTGGGGGTAGGGGGGTAAGGCAGTTCTGTTCGTTTCCCCAGCACGATTTCTATCATTGTCACCAATTCCCTGCCATCCCTGGCCGGAGGGTTACGACGACGCGCACACGCCTGGACACGACCTTCTTTCAAACCAACAGACAAGGCCAAGACAGGAACCCCAGGGTCAAGGTCCGACCGGGCAAGGAAGACCTCTGCCATCAGACAACGCCAATTCCGAGGCTCCACCACCGGGTCGACCCCGAAGGCAAGAGGCGAGGGGCGGACACCTACCGACACCGCGAGCGTGACGGCGTCCAGCTCGACTCTGCCCAGATGGCCGCAGAAGATGGAGCTGACGACGCTAATGAGGAAGATCATCAGCTGCGCCAGGAACTGCGGAGGGAAAAGGAAGGGGAGCGCGAGCGTGACGCAGAGCCCGCGCGGGGGAGGCTCCGGGAGCGCCGGCAGCAGGCGCTGCGCTGCGCCCAGGCTGGGCCGCCGTCTGGGGGGCGTGGGGCCGCGCACTCACCACGGGGCCCGCGAGCGCCACCAGCGCGGCCGCCTCGTGTCGCACGTCGGGAGGCAGCGCGCCCCGCAGGCCCCGCAGGCAGACGCGCCAGCCGGGGGCGTCGGGCGGCTGGGCGCTGTCCCGGGGGGCGATGGCGGCAGCGAAAGTGGTGGCGACGACAACGGGGGCGGCGGCGGGGGCCTCCATGCTGGCGCGGGCAGTGGTGCGCGGGAGGCGGCAGTGGGCTGGGGGCGGCCCGGCCCCGCCCCGCGCGCCCTAGGACCGTCCCACCTGCACACGCGGTCGGGGGGGGGAGGGGTAGGAGGAGGGGGGCGGGCCGCGCCCGGGGCACCCGTGACGCCCCCGCCAACCGTTGCGGTCCGCAGACCCCCGGGGGCTGGGGGCGGGGACCCCGAGGGGCCAACCACGGTGCGAGGAACTGGAGGCCGCGTGGAGTGGGGGGTTTGGGGCCTCGCGAGGACAAAAGAGAACGTGGGTCGTTACAGTGAAATGTGCGGAGGCGGGGGTTGGAGAGGGCGAATTCGTAATTCCACTCTGCGCACCTCCGGAGCCCGCTGCTGCCCTTTCAAGTGACCCCTCCCTCTGCCTCGGGTTACGGGTGTGTTCAAGTATCCGCTCCTCGCAGGCAGGTTAGGACCGGGAAATAAGCCTCCCCACCCCCCATCCTGGGGGCTCGTACCGGACGAAGGGCAGACTCCGTGAGAAGTCCCTAGAAGGCTAGGGAGTAGGTGTCCGGGGACCAAATGAAGAGGGTGTGTATGAACTTGCTAAGGAGAGCGGGAAGAGGGGATGTTGCCGGGGCCCAACCTTCAGGGCCCCCTTTATCTTGGTCCCCGCAAAAAAAAAAAAAAAAAAAAAAAAAAAAATCCTCTAAGAAGCAAGCGTTTTAGGTGGAGATGCCTTAAGGTGGCGCTGGGTACTTTTTACTCGTGGTAGCAAACTTCAGATCTGGTCCACTATCTGTTTTCCCAGGGCAAAGACCAGGCCTAGCTCTTTGTATCCATCCAAGCACCCAGTGTGCTGCGCTAAGGGGTGGGCCCCACCCCAGGAAGGCTGAGTCCTAAGTTCTACGTGTCCACTGCTTAATCCAAGGCCACTATTGAGGTCTCGTGCCCTGATTCCCCTGAGAGGAATGAGCAATGGTTTGGACTGTCACAGCTCCAAAGACTTCCCTAACTATTCTCCAAGGCCCCAGGGGAAGAAGGGAGCATTCACTGAAACCTCACCCTTTTGAGACAGAACCACACAAAACTTCCTGGATACACCATGCTTGCCACCAAAGCTGGGGTGCCTTTTTTTTTCTTTTGAGATTTTATTTGACAGAGAGCCCAAGTGGGGGGAGTGGCTGGCAGAGGGAGTGAGAGAAGCAGGCTCCCTGCTTAGCTGGATGTGGATGTAGGGTTTGCTCCTAAGACCCTGGGATCATGACCAGAGCCAAAGGCAGATGCTTAACCAACTGAGCCACCCTGGTGCCCAGCTGGGGCACCTTCTTAAAGACAAAGACCCAAACAGAAGATGAAAAGGGCCCACCCAAGACCCAGCCTCCCCTCTCCTAGATCCCCCTCTTCATTTCTTCTACCTTCCAATTTAACAATCCCCCCCGCCCCCTCTATCAACATGAGAAACAGTCCGACTTCTTCCTTTGCCTGAATGAGCTCTTCAAACCCTGTATTCAAATTTTAAACAAATTTTAACAAGTTTAACAAATTTAAAACAAATTCAAAATTAAAACAGATTTTAAGACAGGAAGCTTGCTCATCAATGCCCTCTGACTCCTTTCTGCTTAATCTACGTCTTCTCCCCTTCCAGTTTCTCAAGCGACGCCACTGCCCACAGCTCCTGTGATCTAGATATTAACAAATGCCATTGGCCCGTTGCATAATCACTGAAGGCACGAGGAAAGATATAGTGCAAAATATATTTAAAAAAACTCAAGACAGTAGGAAACCTGAAGCACTCAGTACAGGGGTTTTAACTAAAGAAACATTCAGCATAACAAGTAACCGGCAAAGCCCTACCTGAATGCAGTCAGTACACAGTGGTCCTTGGTTAAGACAATGGCACATGAACTGAATCATCGTCACTCTGAACTTTCCGACACTGTCTTGGACAGGAACCTAATTTGTACCTTAGTTCCTTTTCTTTATGAGAAAACACAACTTGGAACTCGTAATTCTTCAAACCCACGAGCCCAGTTGAAACTAACTTAAACTGAAAACAAATTCCCACCGTGGGACCTATGAATTATTTGTCAGCTCAGAAATATCACTTGTCCTGACTCTCTCTCTCTTTTGCCTATCACTCAACTCTGACATACACTCTCACTAAAATCCCTACGATCAAGACCAAAATGCCCCCCAGGAGCAGAAGCCCCCGCCACAGCACCAAATGTTTCCCAGTCAGGTGAGTCGTGTCCCTTGGCTGGGCCTGAACATCTTCTTGGCGCCCGTGCTGGTCCAATCGGGTCTCGTGTTTTCTCCTTACAGCTCTCACTGAAATTCCTCTATGGCTCCCGGGTCCCCCTAAAGGGAAAAAGGAACTTAGTTAGCACTCCAAAAGGATTTTTTTTCCCTAGGTATACAAGATGCCATATAGGGGAGCCTGGGTGGCTCAATGGGTTACGCCTCTGCTTTCAGCTCAGGTCATGATCTCAGGGTCCTGGGATTGAGTCCCACATTGGGCTCCTTGCTCAGCAGGGAGCCTGCTTCCCCCTCTCCCTCTGCCTGCCTCTCTGCCTACTTGTGATCTCTCTCTGTCAAATAAATAAATAAAATCTTAAAAAAAAAAAGTTGCCATATATACGTGTTACTTGTCAGAGGCAAGTTTATTCAGGAAGAAGTTGCTACCTTGGATACATAAAAGAAATTCCATTTCAGAGTCCCTCTCCGCTCACTCCCTCACAAACTCTGACTGGATCCTACTGTTGTCTGCCTGGGTCTTCTAGGGAGCTCGTCCCCCACCCCACAGGAACTAGAGAAATACGGGGCCTCTCAAAGTGAAGGTTCATAGGGTACGTTTTCAGGGGGCCAACACTCGTCTAATGAGCAGTCCCGAAGGAGAACAAGGCCAACAGAGGAGAAAATAACCAAAGAAAGAATCCAAGGGCATCCCTAGAACTGAAGAGAGATGTGGATCGAGTCAGAAGGCCTACTGAGCATCCCCAGGATTGTGACAGACGTATGTCATCTTCCCACACTTCCTGAGGGAAAAATAAAGGCAGTTAACCTAATGGAACAAGAATAAGATGGTAAGGGTGCCTGGGTGGATCAGTGGGTTAAGCCTCTGCCTTAAGCTCAGGTCATGATCCCAGGGTTCTGGGATCGAGCCCCGCGTAGGGCTCTCTGCTCAGTGGGGAGCCTGCTTCCTCCTCTCTCTCTGCGCCTCCCTCTCTGCCTACTTGTGATCTCTCTCTCTCTGTGTTGGATAAATAAATAAAATCTTAAAAAAAATAATAAATTAATTTTAAAATAAATAAATAAAAAAGAATAAGATGGGCATCAGACCTCTTAGTACACATAGTAGGTATTAGTTGTGAGAGAAAGGAATTTCAGAGTAACCCCAGCTCTCACTCTTACAAGATGCTTTCTCCTGGGGGTGGAGGGGAGTGGGCTTCTCCCTCTCCCTCGGCCCCTCCCCTCTCCTCATGCTCTCTCTCAAATAAATCATCTTTTTTTAAAAATGTGTTTTCTCCACATGAGGCATCGTTCTCAGCCCTTCACATGTACGAAGCTCACTTGCCTCTCAAGACAACAGCATGAGGTACTAGGAAGTACTGGTACTCTGCTTTTATAAATGGCAGACAGGAGAAAACTTGTACCAACCATCCTCTGAAGACAATTACAAAAGCTGGACAAGATAATTGAAAAGTATCATCTCGAAGGTGTCAAGAGTGCTTACCAACATAATGAAAAATCATCAGGGCAAGATCTAGGGGAAGCTGGAGGCCCAGAGCTGGAAGCCAGCCTTTGGAGCCTCTTTGGACCTGAAAGTTCTCCATCGGGATGGATCAATGCTTTCAGGAGTTCAGTCCCTACCCAGGTAAACCCCTCTGACTTCAGGTTGGACCTCAAGGGCTGCATCCAAGAATTAAGGATGGACCAGAAGCCAACCAGCCCTCACCCCAGTTACCGCCAAGTCAGCTGGATGGGCCAGGAGTCTGGGTTGTTGAAACCGCCCTACGCTGCTGGTAACCCTAAGAGTTTGACAGAACCAAAGGAAAATCCTCTCTGAAGACCGATACCGTCGTCAGCCTCCAAATACTTCTACCCAGTGTTCAAATACAAGATCTGGAACCAGGCACGTAGGGGACCACACGAGATGAACGAAAACTAATGGGAGCTGTAATTCACCAGCCAGTGAGCTCAAAGGGATTCTCTTAGAAAGCAGCAAGGAACAAGTCTGAGTCCATGACTCACTGCCCGAGGAATTGGGAATGGGCGGGGGGGGGGGGGTTACTAATGGGACAGAGGAAAATGATACCCACAGTTGCCCCCTGCTCCCCAGAAATGATAGTTAAAAACAATAATCTGGGGGCGCCTAGGTGGCTCAGTGGGTTGGACCTCTGCCTTCGGCTCAGGTCATGATCTCAGGGTCCTGGGATCGAGTCCCTCATCAGGCTCTCCGCTCAGCAGGGAGCCTTCTTCTCCCTCTCCCTCTGCCTGCCTCTCTGCCTACTTGTTCTCTTTGTCAAATAAATAAATCTTTAAAAAAAAAAAAACCAATAATCTGTTTAAAGCCCACCTATGTGTTGGCCTGGGGAGTGGGGGAACCCCACGAACATAAACTTACTCACGTCAGTCTCCAAGATAAGGGTCCCTACGCAGGATCAAGCATTAGAAATGCCTGTGAGATGCTTACATCCAAGGCATGGATGACCAGCAGCCTCGAACCATCTAGAGCAGTGTATTAATACCCGGAATGCAAAGCAAACAAACTTCCAAGTCTGTTGACCTCAAATTGGTGTGACTTTATCATTTGTTTCTGAAACTTAACTGCCCGAGTTCAGGGGGCACTCACGGCAGCCAATCTGTTTGCGTCCCACCGACAGCCCCTTTCAGGACCACCCGGAGAGGAAACTGTTCCCAGAGCCGAGGCAGTTTTCCATACCTGGGTCCTGGCAGGCAGCTGCAGGCTCATCCTGGACCATGTTTAGTCTCAGATTGGCATGGATCTGAGCCTAGAAGATGAAACTGGAAGTAAATTCATGAGGCTTTATTTACCATAGTGTTAGGAAATTGACTTGACCACTCGGCTTAGGAAAAAACAAGCCATTTTCTTTAACTGACATGTAATTGGAGCTTCTCTAGTTTACAAGTACACAATCGTCTTTCCGAATGATTGACATGGCGTCTCTGGGTGGGGGAAGGACGGATGGAAAGCCACAACATTAAGGGGAAGGCGTGGCCCAGAATCATAAAATTCCTTTCTTTCCCTTCCCTTTATCTCTTTACCTACTATTTCAGATCCACACTGACCCTAGCAAGTTGGAGAGACAGATACACGCAGGCATCCTAGTGAAATATTTGGGGATCATAAAAACAGTATCAGGATGAATCTGCTGGCATCCCACTGTCTCTTCAGTCCAGATCTTGTCCTGAAATTGGTTTTCCAGGCACAAGGCTGGTAGCTTACTACGGGACACAAGAAAGAAAGGAAACCCTATTTTTTAATTCACTGAATAAAACAAAGGGGAATGGATAAACAGGTAATATCCAGGGTCATCTGGCCCTTCACATCCAAATTAAATGCAGCTAAAACAATAAAGTAGCACTGGTGATAAAAGGGGAAAGCCCCTTCCGAAATGAGAGAGAGATCGCCTGAGCTGATTTTGTTTTCTAGGAGAGAAATTTTTACCCGGCCAGCAACGAGCAGTTACCTCTTCACAAGCTTTTTTCCAATTTAGCCAAGCAATAAAGCCGAGAAAACACAGAGATTGTGTGATGGAACAAATGATGATCCCCAGCCACAGACCTAGAAGTGAAAATATGTAATAAAGGTTAATTCCGTGGAAAACAGGCATCCCTGGGGAATAAGCTGGTCCCCTGTCACTTCTGAGAATCTGCTTTCATGACCCCAGGGTGGAACCCACAGTGAGCCACAGACCTCGCACGTGCTCTCTCCTTTGGTTTCCAGAAGGTTCTGGGAGGCCCAGGGCAAGTCACTGCCCAGGCCTTCTGGATCTCAGAACTGACATTCAGAGCCTTTTTTGGTCTTTGGGAGTCTAACTATTCACCAGTTATAAGGAGAGGAGATTCCCAGGACAAACTATTTCCTACTTCTAAACTGCTATGTTCTATTTTCCTCAGTTAACATGTTCAAAATGCAGAATACAACATCCGCCTTGTACGTTCTCTCCCTTGGCACTTCCTGCAGGCCCTCACTGGCTCTGGGCACAGACTTCCAGAGCTCCCAGGACAGGGTTGTCCACAGAGAGAGAGGACCACACCAAAGGAGAGGCTGAGTGGGAATGGAAAATGGGAAGGGCCACGTGGATCCCAAGGTCCCATCACACTCCACCTAGAAAACCCACACCGGACACAGAGGGAGGCCCCAAGCTAGGAGGGTTTCTTTGGTCAACAGTGAGAAAGTGAATATACCAATGGGCAACTGTCAGACCATAGGCAAAAACAGAACACTGATCCATAGCCTACGGCAACCCATCACTCTGCCTGCCTCTGGGTCTCTGCCAAAGAATAAATGGCCTTTGCTTTTCGCATCCGGTTGGTCTTTATTTCCACAGCCCATCATGGAGGCCCCCCGAGACCTGGCCTACGTGACCAAACATCATGGATGCCAGTGTCCAACCAGATGTGGGACCCGCAGAGGCCCCTTGTGCCTTTCTGCTCGTGGCGCATGCAGTCCAAGGGGACGTCATAAGTTGGGGTCCACACCCCAGTCTCTCTACCGTGACTGCCTAGGCTGTATCTTCATTGGTTTGGTGCCTGGGTACCACTGCTTCCCATGTGTTTGCCATCCTTGGTGGGATCGGGGTTCCTTTTCATCCCTTTTGCTGTGCTTTGTTCTCTCTTTTTGTGGTGTTGGGTCAAATATTGTCACAGAAGGAGAATTAGAGGCCAGGACATGGCCTGTTACATGCGCCCATCTCCTAGACCTGTGAGTTTGTGGTTCTTACCCAATGGGGGCCCATTTGGACCAATTCTTGCTACAGGTTACCCCAAGAACCAGACAAGGTTCTCTTGTTGCAGTTTCGGGTCCTGAGACCTTGGCTTTGATCCAGAGAGCATTCTTCTCTGGTTTTCCGCCCGCCCATGCCACCTGCTGTTCCGGAGTCCAAGAAAGTGCTGATGTGTCCCCATCGCCGCCCTTTCGTCTCCTTACATCCGTGAGAAAGTGAAAACTGAAATCGGAGCCCTCATATGAAAACAGAACCTGATATGAAAAATAGCCCTTTCGCCAAATGACAACACCTGGAAGAACATTTGGAAAGGACTTTGGGACAAAAAGGAGATGAGACCCAAAGTAAACGAGGGGCCCCGCAGAGAGACAGCTAGGGGGCCCACCCCACCCCCCGGCCAGCCACCTACTACAAGGACACTGGTAGACACTGCAAAGAGAAGGATGCTAAGAAAGATAAACCAGGGCGCGCCTGGGTGTCTCAGTGGGTTAGGCCTCTGCCTTCGGCTCAGGTCATGATCTCAGGGTCCTGGGATCGAGTCCCGCATCGGGCTCTCTGCTTGGCGGGGAGCCTGCTTCCCCCTCTCTCTCTGCCTGCCTCTCTGCCTACTGGTGATCCCACTCTGTCAAATAAATTAAAAAAAAAAAAAGAAAGATAAACCAAGGCAAGGCAGAGTCTCTCACTTTGGATCAGCGAGAGTCCTCAAGGAAGCCAAAAGCACTCATTAGACCCTCCAGGGGAATTAACTGTAAATATAGGCAGTCATTCTCATCGACACCGGGTGGACACCTGCCACCCTTGCCCACCTTCAGCCTCAGCCTCCACATACCACACAGGTGGCTGGCATTCCAAATACGCCACAGGTTTCCCCAATCTCCCAGTCTTTAACGGAGACCCTTGAACCCTCGACTAAGAAACACGCCTTCCTGCGCTGTGATTAACAGCCCTGCGGAATGTCACAGGCAGAGACGGACTTTGCAGACAAAATTATGGTATCAAAGGCACAGCAGAGGGAACTAGGTCTAGAGGTCCCAGACGACTCTTTTTTTTTTTTTTTAAGATTTTATTTATTTATTTGACAGAGCTCACAAGTAGACAGAGAGGCAGGGGGGTGGAGGGGAGAAGCAGGCTCCCCACTGAGCAGAGAGCCCAACGTGGGGCTGGATCCCAGGACCCTGGGATCACGACCCGGGCCAAAAGCAGAGGCTTAACCCACTGAGCCACCCAGGCATCCCATCAGACGACTCTTGTATTCATAATAAAGTCGGGGCCGCTCCAGATAGATCTCGCCTCCTCTATTGCGTTGGATGGTGGGTTCCAGACAAGGAACTTGACCCTGTACCTGATACTCCACAGCCTTGATATTCTACTGACAGAGCCAAGTATTTGTAGCAAAATGCATAAAAGTTCAGAACGCTCCTACCAATGCTCCCTAACCTTCCTCAGCATTCCTTCAAGGCCAACAAAGGGAATCAAGCCCAGAGCTGAAAGTCTTAGCCAGAGGTCTTCTCATTCCCCAGATGGGCCCTTGTAGCTGCCAATAAAAAGAAAAAAATAAAAAAATTGGGAAATTGGTCACCTGGGCGGCTCTGTTGGTTAAGCGACTGCCTTCGGCTCAGGTCATGATCTCGGGGTCCTGGGATCTAGCCCCACATTGGGCTCTCTGCTCAGCAGGGAGCCTGCTTCCCTCTCTCTCTCTGCCTGCCGCTCTATGAACTTGTGATCTCTCTGTCAAATAAATAAACAAAATAAAAAAAATCAAATGGATGAGGCTATCGATTTACCAAGACCTCAGGGTCATCAACGAAATTGTGATCCCTCACTTGCCGCTAATACTTAACCCAATACCATCCTGACATCAATTCTGCCTGAAGCCACTTGCTACAACAAGGCGGGTCTTTGGTCTGCATTGTGCAGCTGCCTCTACACCGGGATAGCCAACAACTCTTTGCTTTTGCTGCGGAGGACAACAGTGGGTCTGTAAAGTCAGGTTCCCTCCTATTTTTGTCAGTTCCTCCATCAAGAGCCGTAAACATCTAAATTTCCCTTGTGATTCCGATCTCCTACATTAAGCACCAGAGCTCCTGGTGCAGAAAATGAGGAAGCCCACCTTACAAATCCTGTTCTCAGGTTCGTAGCCTTGGCACAAAAGGGACCTCGTTTCAACAGCAAAATCACGATTTTGCCAGAACACAGCTCATTTAGGGTCTGACCTCAGTCTGGGATTTCTAGGCTTAGCTGGATATTGTAGAAAATGGGCGTCAAATTTCCTTGAGATCGCAATCCGTCTTTATGAACTGACGAAGTCCATAGGGACAGACCCTCCGCTTAGGAGGCCCCGGGCTTCTGGAACCTGACGAAGGCTCCTCAACAGCCTCCTTCAAGCCCAGGCATCCCTAACTACCAAAAACCCCATTTTGTCGGTTTGCACCTGAGCCATCTGGATAAGCCCCTGGGTTTTTAACTCAACCTCTCAGGTTCAGGCAACAGGTTCTCTATGCATCAAAAACTTCTGATGAGCGAGTTCTAGGCTCCCCCGCAAATCCCACCCCAGATCCCACTGCTGGGAACACACGGCATTCTTCAGCCAGCGGATTAACCGCTTGGAAGATTCTGTTGCTGTGTGTCCCCTCCTCTCCCACTACTGTTCACTCCAACAGCCTGAGAGTCCTGTCACTCTCCGAAACTCCCAGAAGAAGGCGACCCTGGTGGCTGTCTTCCCTGTCCCAGGGAACTCTCCGTACCTCACTCAGCTTTATCCGAGAGCCCTCTTGACGACTCTGACCTCATGTTATCTCACTGGTGAGTCGTGCCTTAGCTCGGGAGCTGGGGGTTATCAGCCAGGATGTGCTAGCCCTAGTGTGAGCTCTCCTTCAGACCACAGTCTTCCCCCTGCAATCAGCCCAGACGGCGGACCCTGCTGTGCTTCCTAAAGCCACCAGAGACCAGATAGGGAACATCTGTGCAGACAGCAGATTCACGCTTTGGAAAAGCAGCCCCTGGTTTGGGGGGTGCTTGGGAAACAGAGCGGGTTGCTCTCTTGTGCTGGAACCCCCATCATAGATGGACAGCAAATTAAGGAACTTTTTTTTTTTAGATTTATTTATTTGAGAGAGAGAGAAACATGAGCAGGAGGGACAGAGGGAGAGGGAGAGAGAAGCCCAAGCGAGCTCCATGTTGAGTTCAGAGCTAGACGTGGGGCTCGATCTCACAACCCTGAGAACAGGAACCAAGACCAAGAGTCGGGAGCTTAAGCAACTGTATCACTGAGGCACTCCGACAAGCTTTTAAATACACTCCTATTACCCAGACGGGAGGCTGTTCTAAAGCCATGGCCCCGGTCAGACAAGAAAATGTGGGCGCTGAAGGAAACGCTTCCATATCATTGATGCCAGAAAAGCGGCTTTAACCAGGTTCTGGTCCTATCTGAGGCCCCAAAAGATCAGTCTCTGGAGGGTTCAAAGAGGCCATCATAAAACATCAACATTACGAGATGCCTGGGTGGACCAGTCGGTTAGACGTCTGCCATCGGCTCAGATCATGATCCTAGGGTCCTGGGATCGAGTCCCACATCGGGCTCCCTGCTCAGCCCAGAGCCTGCTTCTCGCTCTTAGACTTTCCCCATGTTTGTGTTCCCTCTCTTGCTATCTCTGTCATAAATAAATAAATAAAATCTTAAATAAATAAGTTTAGTAATAAAAACTTATTTTATTACTAAATTACTAAAACGGTGTCTCTTTCCAGGATAGACTGAAGCATGTCCTTGCTGAAAAGCTCCAATCCTCACCATCACTAAAAAGATGCTTGATTTTTTGTTTCCAACCTGAGACATTCCAAGTTTTTTATCAAGTGACTGAGACACACCCACTACGGGAACCATATAAAAAAACTCTGTAAGATAATGCCCCTCACTCAAAAACGATCCTGTCCTCTTCACCCGCCATGTGTGGGAAAAGTCCTGGAAAAGGAGAAAAGACCAATGTCCTCCTTGAACTGAAATTAGCAAAACTTTGAGCAACCCTTGAGCTCCCTTGGCCAAAGGTACTCCCTATAGTCTTTGCACACCATATACAACAGACAGTCACCACCCGCGAGGACACATCAGCGGCCCCTATGCATTCGGAACTGGAAGGCCTATGTCTAGGGATTTCAGCCAACACCAGACTGACCAGACTGACCAGACTGACTGGCTACATGCCAAGTCTTCTCACCAGGGTCCTACCGCCAACGCTTAAGCCTGCCTTTCCCACAACATCTTCCTAAATAACTTCTTCATCATCTTTAGCCAGGACATTTCATCTACTAGAAGAGACAGCAGAGGGAAACTGCTCCTGAACCTTGTTGGAAGGGACCCTATCAGGGCTTGTGAGGCTGGCTGGCTGCATTTTCTCCCAAGTCTGGAATATTTCTGTGCAGCCATTCTCCTCGAGGATGACCACCATGATGGACACCATCAAGGGGCTCGAGAAGATCTTGCAATACAGTGGACCATGAGATGACTTTATAATCCCAAGTGGTAAAGATCTGGCTCTCCAGCCTTCCCTGAATTCCCAGAGTCTCTAGTTTTCCCTGAAAAAAGACTGAAACACTGAATACACAGACAATGGCCACACCATGTATCAGAGAAATATGACCCCCACCTGTAGCAACATACCCAGGAAACCCCCCAAAAGTGAGCACCCCCCATAAGCACCCCAAAAGCGAGCCTGCTACCCATCAGACTTGCGGGAGCCCAGACTTCTATGTCTAGGATTACTGCACTGAGCTCAACAATAACTTCCATAACAGCCGACCCCAAATGGCCAGGACACCATCAATAACTGACAGCTTCCTCCGTTTCTGTCCCTGCTTCCAGCTCAGGGCCAAGCAGAGAAAACCAAAGCTGCACCCCGCCTGATCAGCCACACAGGACCCCCCACTTCGGTTAGCCCACCTCTTTCCCAGGCCACCGGCGTCCATCAGGGTCCACCTGACGCTTTCCTGTTCTCCACCATGAAGCACTCCCACTCCTCGGCCTGCCTTGGGGTCTCTGCCAAAACTTTAGTGATGGTGGTCAAGTCCCCTGCTGGGGCAAGCTCAGAATAAACAGCCTTTGCTTTTCCCATTGGCTGGTCTCGGTTTATCTCCACAGCCTTTGAGATCTCAATAAGGGCAAGGTGGCAAGACAGGGTTTACAGGTTTGGGTGGCCAGACTTGGTGCATGGTTTATGGATCTGCTCCTTGATACCAGCAGTCACACCCATGTCACATGTTTCAGGAGTGATCAGCCCAATATTTAGAAGAATAAAGTTGATAGCCACCTGCCATTCCTATAATGGACTAATAAAAGCAAATACAGGGGCGCCTGGGTGGCTCAGTGGGTTAAAGCCTCTGCCTTTGGCTCAGGTCATGATCCCAGGGTCCTGGGATCGAGCCCCACATTCGGGCTCTCTGCTAGGCGGGGAGCCTGCTTCCCCTTCTCTCTCTGCCTGCCTCTCTGCCTACTTGTGATCTCTGTCAAATAAATAAACAAAATCTTAAAAAAAAAAAGCAAATATATATATACATATATGCTTTCTTGTTCAAATCCAGTTTTCCTGATCCATAAAAACTACCAGCTTACCATAATCACCCTAAACAGAAAGTAACTAGATATCTCTACCTAATTTGAAAGTGATGGGTGATATTTCCAGGAAATTCATTATATACCATTTAAAATATTTATTGGATTCAACGTAGGAATCCCAAAATAAGGTGAGTGTCAGAATCCCCCAGGAATGTATGTATTTGAAAAGCCTCCCCAGGAGATCAAGATGGGGACTTCCTGATTTGCGGGAGCTGCCCGTGAGGGTATTAAGGGTAACTGGTGTGATGCTCGCCATTGCATATCCTACCAATGGTGACACAGTATTTGAAATTTGAGTTAGTTTTAAACTTTATTTTCTGGAAGAGGTGAGTGGCAGGGACGGACTACAGTCTCCTCACAGAGCGCTCACCTGCCCAGAGCTCCCAACATTTCTTAAATTGAGATATAACAATTAGTTTCGAGCGTGTGACATCATGATTCAATATTCATATATATCACAGAACGATCACAATAAATCTCAGTACCTTTCCCCACACATAGTTACAAAGTTCTTTTTCTGAGGATGAGAACTTTTGAGAGCTCCCTCTGTAACCTTCAAACGTTCAATACAGTATTACTAACTATAGCCACCATGCTACACATTCCAGCAACGAACTTTGTAACTGGAATTTTCTACCACAGCACTTCCCTTAAGGGAGTCTTGACTCCCTTGACTCTGCGCATATTAGGTAGGCTTTTGTCAAATGAGCAAGTGGGCCTCATCCAGCACTGGGAACACAGGTAGATCTGTGTTTTTATTTCTCTTTTAAATTTATTTTCTTATTTTTGTTTTTTTAGATCTGTACTTTTAAGTAGATTTTTCCAATATTTCCCTTAGCTTTGCCACCGGCAAATCCAAAATAGGAGTAATGCCAGAAACTCAGCTAAGTCATTTTTTGCACCACGATGAAAGTCCAGTGAACTTTGCGTTGGCAACTCCAATCTTGGAACATCTCCCCTATTTTTTATTAAAATATTATTGACCTTGAGAACAACAGGCAGTGTAATGGGATGGGGAGGTCACTCGAGATATTGGGATGACTTCTCACCTCTCGGGGCCTGCCAAGTACTGATGGGTAAATAAGTCTCTATTTCACCCAAAGATAACGTGTCCGGGTTTTAACAGAATCTTCTATAAACTGCCAATGTATTCCAAATTATTATTTTAGAAATCAAAGCTGAGCAGTTTTCTGTTTCCCTACTCTTTTAAAGGTCAGCTCTGGTCATTCCAGATCCTGTGGACTAAGTTCTTTCCTCCACAGGTGGTAAGGTGATAGAGTCCCCTGCCTTCTGTGATGTTCACACACATCCCACGCATGCCCTTCGGGGGGTGTCTAGAAGACACACGGCTTAAGGCAGGAGAGGGAAGGTGCAGAATGGCCATGAAGGTGACCTCCAGAGCACAGCTCCAGGTCCCACATGGGCTAAGCCACAGCAGGCACGATCTAGAACATATATACCCACCATACCACGTATGTTGTCAGAAGTTCTGTTAAGAATCACAGCAGGGCCGATCCCTTGCTTCTCCTGCCTCACACCACACACTCCAATAGGGCCAATTTGTAATGGCTTCAACTCACCCCCAGGGTCCCACTATAAAAGGACTGTCACCAAAGGACAGAATTGGGGCCACCAAAAGTACACTTCTGAATGCTTTTTCAGCCCTCCTGCTGTCACCAGCTTGGAAGAAGTGAGAACTTGATGACACAGGACAGGGAGAGGAGGCAGAAAGGTTGCCCGGCTCCACTCAAGTATGTCAGTGTGGAAAAGGGCCCAGTGGGGTAGGAGGGGCATGAACTTCCAAAGCCAAGTCTCCCAAAAAAGCCTACAGTTCCAGCGGTCATTTCTGGGGCCCATGAGTGAGAGACCCGTCTGCCCGTGGTGAAGGCTTACCAACCACTCCCATTCTGGCTGCAAACATCAGCGAAATCCCGATGGGAAGACCAATCACATAATACCCAATGGTGTTGACAATGGCCCCAGCCTTCTGGTTACCGCTCCCCCGAAGAATGCCTCCACCTGTGCACTGTAGGCAGAAACCATCCAACCGTGAGAACGTTCCCCAAAGTATTCAGAAAGACTAGCCATCCCTGAGCACGTCCCTTCCCCAAAAGACTCGGACTTAAAATTCCATCATCACAAACCAGTTTGTCAAGTGAATATGCTAAAAATATTCAGTATCACCTACCTGCCCCCCGCCCCAGCTGCTCTTTTCTGCTTAAATTTACCACCAACAGAAGGAACATTTAGATCATAAAGTTGCTTAAAGGGAGTATCGCAGGACGTGGGGGGCTTAGTCTGTTAAGCGTCTGCCTTTGGCTCAGGGCACGATCCCAGGGTCCTGGGATGAGGTCCCTCATCGGGCTCTCTGCTCAGTGGGGGATCTGCTTCTCCCACTCTCTTTCTCTCTGCCACTGCCCACCCCCCACTGGTGAGCTTGCTCTCTCAAATATAAATAAGTAAAATCTTTTAAAAAATAAAGGGAATATTGCAGAATACTTACAGCCAGAGCTTCAAACAGATGGGAAACAGCAGAGATCGGAATCACCTTAGCCACTAGAGCAATGATTTCTCTGTTAGGAAAAGAAAGCACGTGGTGATCGGAGGAGACAGACACGTGAGAAAAACCAGACTACGTGATTCAGGTGAGGGCACTTGGCTTCCGCATACAACTGGACGGGCTTGTGCATTCCAGCCAACACCCAATTTGGGGACAATCCTTCTGTTTCTTGGCCCACAGCGGAAACCAACCCAAGTCAACGCATTGCATGACTTGTAGAAGAAATATCTAGTCCAGTCAGCCAAGGCAGACAGTTCAATGATTTGGTACTATACTGCCCCCACAAAAAAATAAAATTTGGTTTATAGTGCCATCCTTCTTTTAACATGATTCCATGTGTATCTCTCCATGTGTCTGGAGAAACCACCATGGAGTGGTTAAGGTTCTCCGTGTGGAACCAAGGTAGGCAAATTATAAAGGCTATGGGTACAGTTTATGGAATTATCCACGGTTCCTAGAAATCGTCCCTAACCTCTACAGCTGAAGACTTTGATTTTAATGCCTACAATTAAGGAGAAACTAGAAAATGTTGCCTCTGACCCAGGGAGGCAAAAAAAAAATCTGTAATACTTTCAAGTGATTAACAAATAAGCCTAGAACGTTGTCTAGCAATAAATATTTGTTGAATGAATTAAACAAACAAGAAATCCAGCACAGACCATGACAATCGCTCCCCTCCCCCTCCAAAAAAAGGACAGAAACACAGTTCTTTTCTTCAAATTGAGTTTTATTTTCTGAATATGCAACAGTTAAGAGGAATCAAACAATTTGAAAAGGATATCGAGAAAAATCTTACTTCCACTCTGTTCCCTCCCCACCCATTACCACCACCTCCCCCAAGATGAGGCAACAGTCCTTGGTACTGTCCTTGTTTGTCCTTGTCCAGATACAAATGCACACTCTTATCTTCCCCTTCTAGCCTCCATCATTTCATGTTCTAGCATTCTCTACACGGTGTTCCCCAACTTGATTTGTCTACCTGATAGATTATATTCAATTCCATAGTCTACCAAATGTATTATCTTTTATGTGCTGCTGAATGTGGTCCACAATATATTCTTCTGGATTATAAGACAGAAGTTAGTAAGAGAGATTTGTCTGCAACTTTCTTTTTCTCTTGTACAAACTGTCGGATTTTGGTACCGATGTTCTACTTTTGCTTAGTCCTAAACAGAATGTGGAAATTTTCCTTTTTCTGGTCTCTGCAACAGTACAACAGCACTGGAATTACATTTTAAAGGTTCTATAAAATTCTCCTTTGGAACATGCAGGGATTAGTGCTTTTTTGAGATTTTTCAAATAAACTTTTCTTATTTCTTCTAAGGAAATAGGTCCAGTTAGCCCTTCTATGTTTTCCAAGGTATGTTTTGGTAACTTATTTTCCTAGAACGTTATTTATTCCTTCCAGATTTTTTTTTAATTTACTTGCAAAAGTCATGCAAACTAGTCTCTCATGGTTTAAAAAAATTATAGTTCTTTTAATAATTTCCTCCTTTCTTATTTTGCATCGAGCTCTTTCCCTGTTTCCTCTTTGATTAGGTTAAATGTCCATGTTGTTGTTAAAAATCTATGTCGCCAATGTGGCCAGTTCCCGCTGATCCCCACAAGCTCGTAAGTAATTTGATTTTCTGAGTTTTCTCTGTCTCATATCATCAAGGCTATGGTTTGTGGGCCTTTTTGTTTTCCATGCTTTTGCCTGCCCTGCACGGCTTCCAGAAGTGGACAGACTCAGGATCCAAGATATGCCCTGTGTCTACTGAAACCATCAGCACATACACATCTGAGAATGTTAATTCTGATTCCCTTTTAAGAACACAAGAATGATTTCCGGTTGCCTTTCCATTCACTCTCAAGGGAGGGACACTTAAACACTGTATTTCCCCACAGCGAAATGGCTGAGGCTGAAAGAGGACAACCCAAGACCAGAAGGCAAAAGACAGGAGCGCCTGGATGACTCAGTCAATTAAGAGTCCGATTCTTGGTTTCGGCTCTGGTCATGATCTCAGAGTCATGAGGTCGAGCCCCATGTTGGGACTCCGTGCTGAGAGTGGAGTCTTTTTGAGAGTCTCACTCCCTCACCCTCTGCCCCTCCCGCTCGTTCTCTCTCTCTCTCAAATAAATAAATAAATCTTAAAATTAAAAAAAAAAAAAAAGTCAACAGACAAATACCCAAAGAATGAACTGGGAACAGCAGACCTGTCCACCAGCTGCTTTTTAAATCCATGAAGGAAAAGTCAATTTTTCATCTTATAATTGCTGATGAAAGAATCCCAAATCAGGGGCTCCTGGGGGGCTCAGTCAGTTAAACGTCTGCCTTTGGCTCAGGTCATGAACCCAGGGTCCTGGGATTGAGCCCCGCATCGGGCTCCCTGCTCAGCTGGGAGCCTGTTTCTCCCTTACCCTCCACCCGCCACCGCCCACGCCCCCTGCACTCATGATCTCTCTCATTCTCTCTCTCAAATATATAAATAAAATGTTAAAAAAAAATAATCCTAAATCAGAGTTAACCTTCACATATATCCATGTAGTCAAAACACACCACAACCAACCCAACAGAACCCAAGAACCACAGAGCCAATCCATTTCTTACAAGAATTCTCAGTGATCAGTCTGATAATGTGACTTTTTTTGAGACGATTCATTAGGGGGATTTTAACTTCAATTTGAACTGACGAGTATATGACCCAACTCGTCCAGACCAGGCACTTGGGCAGATTCTGAGACACCAAAATGATGCATGTCCCTGGGAACAGAATATTTAACTGGAAATGTTATCGATGGGACCCAAAAGGGGTTTCCTTCTTTAAAACACATGCATATTCTGGGGCGCCTGAATGGCTCAGTCTGTTAAGCATCTGCCTTCACCTCAGGTCATAATCTCAGTTCCTGAGATCGAGCCCCACATCAGGCTCCCTGCTCAGCGACGAGTCTGATTCTCCCTCTCCCTGTGTGATCTCTCTCTCTCTCAAATAAATAAATAAAATCTTTTAAATACACACATATCGGGGTGCCTGGGTGGCTCAGTGGGTTAAGCCTCTGTCTTCAACCCAGGTCATGATCTCAGGGTCCTGGGATCGAGCCCCATGTCAGGCTCTCTGCTCAGCTGGGAGCCTGCTTCCCCCTCTCTCTGCCTGCCTCTCTGCCTACCTGTGATCTCTCTCTGTGTGTCAAATAAATAAGTAAAATCTTTAAAAACAAATAAATAAAATAAAATAAAATAAAATACATGCATATCCCAAACACCAGCAGCATCTATCAGCAGATTCTGGATGATAAATTAGCTCCCAGAGCGGACCTGTTCTTCCCAGGTAACGGCAGCGCGTTTCTCATCTTCTGAATGGCTCAGGGACGCTCTGGGAGGCAGCTCTCCCAGGAGGGCATCTACCCAACCGTTTTTTGTTTTTTTTTTTTTAACCATGTTTTTACCGCAGATTTCACATTTCAAGACAATCTCTGCACTCACCGTTCGGTAGTGAAAATATACCCCACGAGATCCTTACAGCTTAACATCAGGACACAGAAGGTTACAGCAAAGAGTCCTGGAGGTAAAAATGGCAGAGAGACATCGCAGTGAGAGGGGAAGGCTGTTGGGAACCGGGCAGCTGGGCTTCCCGTGCAAAGACCCGTGCTCGGTTGAGTCGCTGACGAGAGACTCTAAGCACCTGTGACCAGCAGGGCGACAGCTGACGACTTCTTGGCCTGCTGGATGTTTCCCGCGCCCAGCGCGTTCCCCACCCGGACGCTGGCAGCCACACTGAAGCCTGAAGGTATCTGAAATACAAAAAGAAACATACAGTAATGACAAGGAAAGAGCGAGCAGGTAGCAGAGAGGCAGCCCTGCCTCCGGAGTCCATTCTGAGCCCAACTGTGAACCTTCTCCAGGACAGAGGCGTCACTTACAGGGCTTATAAAATATGCAATGGAGGCTTACGTTCCTCCTTCCTCGTGTGGGAGGGGGGACCGCCAGGAGCCCAAGCTAAGTCTGAGAGACCAACATGGACCAAGTTTAGAAGACAGGGGCAACTGGTGGCTCAGTGGGCTAAGCGTCTGCCTTCCGCTCAGGTCGTGATCCTGGAGTCCTGGGATCGAGTCTGGCATGGGGCTCCCTGCTCAGCAGGGAGTCTGCTCCTACCCCTGCTGGTGCTCGATCTCTCTCACTCTCTCTAATAAATAAATAAAATCTTAAAAAAGAAAAAAAAAGTTTAGAAAACAGAATCCTAAACAGGTGCCCTTCCGCATTCCCCCAAATCTTGGGTAAAAAGGAACTTAAGAAAACAGGAAGATGCATACCAAGCTGAGAGCAGGCTACCCTTGTGTGTTGGGGGGGGGTTGGGTTGGGGAAGGACGGGATTAAGAGTGTATTAAAGCAGACCCAGGAAGGCCAGGATGCCACAGTGGTTAGGAATAGCTATTTCTTTTTTTTTTTTTTTAAGATTGTATTTATTTTTTTGACAGGCAGAGATCACAAGTAGGCAGAGAGAGGGGGAAGCAGGGATGCTGAGCAGAGAGACCAACGCGGGGCTCGATCCCAGCATCCTGAGATCATGACCCGAGCCGAAGGCAGAGGCTTTAACCCACTGAGCCACCAAGGCGCCCCAAGGAATGGGTATTTCTGAAGCCATGCTGCCTGGGTTCAAGTCCTGATGCAGCCATTTATCTGTTGGGCGACCCCGAGCGAGTTACTCACCCTCTCTTGCCCTCAGTTGTTTGCTGTGAATGGGATCCTCTAACAGAGCCTAGCTTGTAGGGTTACTGTGGGGATTAGAGGAGTCCATATATGCTAGCTGCTTAGGACAAGGCCTCACGTGTAGTAGCTCTTCAATAAAAATTAGTCATTACTAGTACCTACAAATTTACCCCTGGAGAAAGCAGGATTAGGTTAAAAAAAAAAAAAGTCATCAGCCATTGGAACATGAATTTTGCCTCCTGCGCAGGCTGACCGGGGGGCAGGATGACAGAAATCTCAGAGTGAGGAACACAGAAGACCTGCGAGACTGAGTACCCGCCGGAAACTCACTAGCGGACACACAGCTCTCCCACTGATCATGTATTAACTACCAAGGGAAAGAGCAGACACCACCTTAACCACGATATGAGTTAGTATCACCCATCGTGGAACAAATCCAGGTCACTGGACAGAACATGCAAGAAGCAGACATCGACACTTCTGTTGTATTCCTGCCAAAAATGCAGACTCGGAAACCATTCACAAGGAAGTGTCAGCTCGACTCATTGAGGGTCTCATTTATACAAGTCTGTATAAGGTGCCTCTGTTCTTCAAAAGGTCAAGGTCGAGAAAGATGAAGGCTGAGGATCTGCTCTAGATTAAAGAAGATTAAGGAAGCCTAACACTTTAGGGGCACCTGGGGGGGCTCAGTCAGTTGAGCTCTGACTCTTGATTTTGGGTGAGATCACGGTCTCAGGGTCGTCATCTTGGGTCATGGGATAGAGCGTTGGGCTCTACGCTCAGGGAGAAGTCTGCAACGTTCTCTCCCTCTGTATCTACCTCCCCACTTTCGCTTGTCTTTGCACCCACATCTGCACACTCTCAAATAAATCTTTTTTTTTTTTTTTTTTTAAGAGGGAGCAACTGGGTGGCTCAGTGGGTTAAGCATCGGCCTTCAGCTCAGGTCATGATCCCAGGAAGCTGGGATAGAGTCCCACATCAGGCTCACTGCTCAGCAGGGAGTCTGCTGCTCCCTCTCTCCCTCTCCTCCCCGATCATGCACTCTTTCTCAAGTTAATTAATTTTTTTAGAAAAGCATAATAACACTTTAGTTCCAAAAGAAAAGTAGTTTTAGAGGACATTATCAGAACAATGGGTGGTATTTGAATACAGGATGCGGAGGTGATGGGTAGATACATAGATTGATTGATAAAGTGAGGAAACGGGCCAAAATGTAAACAGCTGGGGAACAGGAGTAAAGGATACAAACTCTTGTTTTGATTAGAGAAATACAAGTGTAAATTCTTATAAGCCTTGGAAAGCATATGGCAATATATGCGAAAGACATAAAACTGTAATTAAGTTTCACTTTTAGGAATTTAAGGAAGGATGTAAAGATACTTTGTCCTAAAGCACAGAGTATTTAATTTCGCAGTAAGAGATGGGTTTAAAAATTATACACATAAGGAGACACTGGTACACATTTTGATTTGGATATACGTACGGAACTTACTAAAATTTAAAAAACATATATATAAAATATCAAGAGTTGAAGTGATGAATACAGGTTTAGAAATTCCGCCAAACATGGAATAAAAGCAAAAACAAAAATCAGAGTTCCTTGGGAGATTGATTCTTAAAAAAAAAAAAAAAATGTGAGATACGGGGACATCTGGGTGGCACAGTCAGTTAGGCATCCTACTCTTGGTTTTGGCTCAGGTCTGATCCCAAGGTCGTGAGATCAAGCCCCGAGTCCTGCTCCGTGCTCAGCGCGGAGTCTGCTTAAGAGTGTCTCTTCCTCTCCCTTTGCCCCTCCCCCTCAAGTGCATGCTCTCTCTCTCTCTCAAACAGATCCATCTTTAAAAAAAATAGTAAATACGTGTTTTACATAATTCTTAAACATAACCAGACCCAAGGTGGGGCGGGGGGTGGGAGTGCTAAGCATTAGTGTGCCGTTTCCAGTCCCTTCCACGTTACAATTCTCCCTAAGGGCACTGGGCTAGAGACAAAAGCCCTTCAGAATTTCCAGTTGCTGTTTTCAATCTTAAAACAAAATCTTTTTAAAACAAAGTCAAAGAAAAGCCTCTAATAACTGGGATTCGTCTCTAGCACATGAAGATGTTTCCTTTCCAAGGCTGAGTAATAGTCCATTGTACGGACCGACCACAGTGTGCTTCTCTGTCCATCTCTTGATGGACACTTGGGTTGGTGCCACCTTTTGGCTATTGTGAACAATGCTGGAGACCCTGCTTTCATGTCTTTAGGGTCTAACCCATGAGGGGTCTGAAGCCTCAGACCCAGGCAGCAGGGGAGTTCAGGGACCCACAGGAGCTAGGCTCTTCTTGCCACACACCTAGCACCATTGTCCTTCAGACCCCCACGTGTACCCCACCCTGGGCATTTGAATAGTGACAACTGGAAAACATTCATCATGTTTGGCAAGTGTGGCAATCAAGGACGTGCCTGACCAACCCTGAGCACCTCATTCTTCCCAACTTTCCAGAGCTCCCAGGGAAGACCCCATCGTTCCAAATGGACCCTCCCAGGCTCTGGGATGTAATTTTACTTTCCTGAATCAGTCTATAAATTACTGTGGGGCACCTGGGTGGCTCAGTCGTTATGCGTCTGCCTTTGGCTCAGGTCACGATCCTGGGGTCTTGGGATCAAGCCCTGCATCAGGCTCCCTGGTCGGCAAGAAGCCTGCTTCTCCCTCTCCCATTCCCCCTGTTCGTGTTCCCTCTCTCACTAGGTCTTTCTCTGTCAAATGAATGAATAAGTAAATAAATAAATAAAAATTACTCATGGGAGGAATGCCTATGCTTGTTCTTCAGACTCTTTGTTCAAGGGAAACATCTAGCACCTCCCCACAACTGGCTCCCAGACACTCACCATGTACAAAATGACGGTCAGTTCGTACAGGACAGACTGGGCTCCCAGCTCCACCATGCCGAGGATACCTGGCGGAGAGAGGCAGCTGACACCACACTTCCGGACAGGGCCCCGCGTTTACGCCGGCCATCACCACCTGCCCCCACACTGACCGCTCAGTAAGCTCCCGATCTCATAGGCCCACCACTCCATGCACAGCATGAGCATCCCGGGGATGGCCAGGCTGAAAAAGGAGGCCCAGTCCTCCAGACACTCACGGGACCACCCTGTAACAGTGGGGACACAGACCTATTAATGACATACAAGTGGCTGGGCCAGACCTCAACCCAAGACAAAACCCCTGACCAACTTGTAACGCAAACGGCGGTCTTTACCTCCCCAGGTAGCTTGATGCAGGTTCCTCCCAAGGATGTAGAAGAAAAGGAGGAGTGCCAGGGTGAACTGGGAAATGGTATTTGCCAGTGCCGATCCCCTGGAAAGAACAGTCCCAGTGAGGGGAGGTGCCCATCCTCCATGCTGCTGGGACCCCTATGTAAGCCCTGAACACGTCTTTTTTCTGGGGCAGCCTCACTGTCCATCCCGGAGAATGTATTCCAGAGTGGCCCAGGGAGGGGACCACACACAGACACGTTGACCAGGTCTAGGTTTCCACCCCTCCCACCATCCTACCCTGGAAAAGCCACACGGTCATTCCTTCCCCGTCCCAAGGTCATTCCTTCTCCCAGTCCCCAGGTCACTCCTTCCCCCCATCCCAAGGTCATTCCTTCCCCTGGTCCCAAGAATCAGTAGCACTCACATCACCCCAAAATGCAGCTGATAAAGAAAAAGATAGTTGAGGAGGGCATTGACAAGGTTGGCTGCTACTCCGGTTAGGACCTGGGGTAGTACGATTCCCTGAAAGAGAGACCACACCCCACGCTGGAGACCAAGGAGCGGGACTGCCACTTTGTCCCCAAACACACAGGCATGGAGGGCTGCCACAGGCATGCCCCAAGGACCTAACTGGATGCCCTTCCTCGCTGCTCCTACCTGCCTGCCTCCCATACCCTTCTTCCAGGGCCGGGAAGCACGGAGCTCTGGCCACCGGCAGGCAGGCAGGTGAAAACGAGGCTGGGAGACAAATCAGTTGGCCTTCCAGAGCGCAAGGACTGACAGGGACGGAGTATAAACAAGTGACGTTCAGCACTGGATGGTGCGTGACAGCTCAGCGCTTTTTTGACCAAATGAAGTTCGATGATGTAAGAAAACCTAGGACGCCCTCACAAACCCAGAACGTGGGAAGCACTCCATCACACCTGCTCTGCCTGCAAGTACAGGGCAGAAAATTCCAGGCTGTCTGGCATCTCAATCGAAGACTTCCAGCGGAAGGGGAAAACGACATACACAGGCTGGGGACGTACAAACCCGGCCGCCGAGCATCGAGACAGAGCTGCAGACACCAGGAAGCCAGCGGTGACCGTGACAGGAGGTGCTGTTTCTCCGGCTGCAAACAGGTCACCCCGGCCCCTTCTCTGAATGCTTTTTCTCTCTCTGAGAAACCTGGCTCTCTAAAAATCCCAGAGCACAGGACATTTGGCTGTTTGAAGTCAACTCAGTAGACCTCAAAGATCCCTCAGCTGCCTGGGGGACTGAAGTCACTCTCACACACACAAAGAGCAGTCTTGATTTCCATCTCAGTGGGGGCAGGCTTCTCATGGGTTTCTGGACACGGCCATCTGCAGCTGAGCTCCCCAAGGAAGAGAGGACTTAGTTAGGTCCACTTGGCAGGGCAGACCCTTTCCTGCTTTGATCGAAGCCCACCAAAACATTACCTCCCTTGGACTGCTCCTAAACTCCGCTCTACAGAATCACAGCTCTCTTCCTCCTTTGTTGAGTGAGAACCACCCTCCTCTGACCTCCGCTACGGCTGCCACAACTCTGTCCTGCTGCGTGTTTGTCTCTAGTGGTCTCAGTAGTCCCGGGCTCAGGGACCAAGGCAAGGATCATGGCCAACCACTACTATGGGTCACCAACTTATCAGGTGACCTGCTTAGTTTTTAGCAAAGTAGGCAGGTGACCACACCTACCTTTCAGGTAGAAAGTAAAGGAAGTAGCATGGGATGGGGTTGGCCCAGGGAAGGAGTGGCAGCAGGGAGGCTTGGTAAGAGGCTCCTGCAGTTATCACAGAAGGAAGGAGGAGGAGAAGAGAGGAACTGAAGTGGGGGGCGGGGGGTAAGGAGGGGAGAGGCAGGACCTACAGGACCATCCCTGATGAGCTGTGGGAGTGAAGGAAAGGATGGAGTGCCACGTGAGGCCAGGTTACCCGAAGAAAAGATGTTGGAGGCCACTAACTAGGAGAGAAGGCAGGGAAGCGGAGAGGCAGGCCTGGGGGATGAGAAGGTCAAGGGCGCTATGTGCACAGGCCTCCCATGGGCAGCGGGCAAGACTGGTGGCTCGAGCTGGAAATGCGGGAGCCATGGACACACAGATGGAAACCGAAAACATCCAAGAGACAGCTTCCCGCAGAAGGTCAGCGGAAGCTGGCGGGGTCGCCTTCTCTAACCCTCCCCGCTGAAAGTCTAAGCAGCCCCCTGGTTTCATCTAGGGCTCTTCCCAGCCTCCCCAACAGTGTTAACATTGTCCCCAGCCCAGCTGCTTTGCCCCAGGATGGAAGCTGGGTTACACCCAACTCTTGGCTCTCCTGCCGGTCCCTTTAGCTGAGGGTCATTTCATTCTATAGGAAATACCCCAACATAGGACTTCTGTTGGTTCCACAGGACATGCCTTCTTGTCAGAGCCCCACGCGCTGAGCCCAGGCCAACCCACCTCCCTGGCTCTGTCCTCCACTGTGTCCCTCTACCGTGGTCGTGGCCTTGGCACTCCCACCCCTCGGTGACTCAGATGCCTTGGGAGTCCCGCGTGTTCTCCAAAGCCCAGTAAATGCCTGCTGGCCCTTCTTGGCTCCGGGCTCCTCCTTCTAGGTCTTTCCCTGTCCCTCCGAGGATCAGAGAGAGGGGTCGTCACTCCCAGTCTGCTCACTGGACCGAGCTGGAGCCTGCGGTCAGAAGCCCCCGCGTTTGCTGGGAGACCATCGGACACAAAGGAGGTCCTGAGCAGGCCAAGGCCTTTACGTGGGTTCGGGCAAGGTTACAGGCTGACACCAGACATGGAGTCTTCTACCTCTTTACAGACGCTAATGAAGATTTGAAATGTTTCCTTCACAGGGTGAGATCTTACGTTTAAGAACACTAAACAGTTGGAAAACCACCTCCCTTCTCTCTTCCCTGCCTTGGCCCCTCCATGCATCCTGGAGAGCCTGCTTCCATGGCCATGACCCACTGTCAGGTACCCTCGTTTACCTGGATCCATTTGGAATCAAGTCCTTGGTCCCTCATACCCAGGCATCGCAAATCCATGCCTCCCGTCCCGGGTCTTTGGCTGTTGCTGCTAGTCACATGTGGAGGTCTGACCAACGTGAGGTATAATTACAACATGGGCCTTCATGCCCCACCGAGGAGCGTAGGGCCCTTTGGACAGATCGGAGCAGAGACATTGGCACCCTGGAGCACGAAAGGCGCCCTCTGCAGGCCGCACAGCCACACACCCTCACTTCTAGGGAGCCAAAGACGGCTCCAGCGCTAACCCTATCCTGCCAATGGCAATATTTCCAAGGGGGAATCGGATAAGATTTTTTCCAGAGCCAACAATAACGTATACTTTCCTTGATTTCACCTCATAAACCTCTCCACACCAAAGTCCTGCGCCTTCAACACAGGGAAACAGACTTCGATGGTTCCTGAGTATTTTAGGGCAACCCCTCCCCAACTGCATGAACTCCCATGAGCTCCCCCGCCAGAGAGAGAAGAGAGTCTGTATTACCTGGTTGAGTAAATATTTCACTTGTAACATATAAAGAAAGGTTGCCTGCGAGAGAACAAGAGATGAAGATTAACATTTTGGCCTTGCCACGCAGGCGTGAGCTGGGAGCCACGGCTTGGCTGCCCCCGGCTCCCACATGGAGCCAGGGAGACACACCGTGACAGAAGGGGATGGGGGCGGCAGCCAGGGTGTCTGGGCCCAGGGTGTTCCAAACATCTCTCATGGATGGACACAATCCAAGAGACCCTAGGGTCTGGGAGACTGGTTCCCTTGAGTGCATGGCACTTCTTCTGGGGGTGGTAGGCTGTCAAGGAGACCCCTGGGCAAACTCTAGGGGAGGTACCCCTCTCATGTAGATGAGACAACAGACCTATTTGGGGAACAGTTAAAGAATATTAAGCATTAAAGATTTCAGGATAAATTCAAGACCACAGGGGCGCCTGGGTGGCTCAGTGGGTTAAGCCTCTGCCTTCGGCTCAGGTCATGATCCCAGGGTCCTGGGATTGAGTCCCATATCAGGCTCCCTGCTCAGTGGGAAGCCTGCTTCTCCCTCTGCTTCTGCCTCACCCCTTCCCTCTATTTCTCTGTTTTTCATGAGTAAACAGAAAATCTTTAAAAAGTGAAAAATAAGAAGTAAAATAAATAAATATGTAAGTTAAAATGAGGCCATTAGGTGGGCCCCAGGGCTGCCCCTGCTCAGGGGAACACCTATGAGAAGAGGCAGCAAGGAGGAGGCCGTCTGCAAGCCACGGAGGGAGGCCTCCGAGAACACCAACCCGGCCACACCTTGACTTTGGACTTGCCCACTTCCACCAGTGTGAGAAAAATCGATGTCTGTTGTTAGAGCCAGCCAGTCTAAGCTCTGTTTTATGACCACCCAGGCAAACCAAAGACAGCCTCACCACCCAGCTGAATAAAAGGAACTCTGACTGTCACAGACCACGCGTTATTGTGTCCAACAACATCGCACACTGAGGGGTCTGTGTGATCACGCACCGTGAGGGAAACAAACCTAGAAGTTCGGAGACAGGCCCGAGGGCTCCACACAGGGAAGAATTTACCACCACACCAAAAAAAAAAAAAAAAAAGGGTGCCTGGGTGGCTCAGTTGGTTGAGCAACTGCCTTTGGCTCAGGTCATGATCCCGGAATTCCAGGATGGAGTCCCGCCTCGGGCTCCCAGCTCCTTGGGGAGTCTGCTTCTCCTTCTGACCTTCTCCTCTCTCATGCTCTCTCTCACTCATTCTCCCTCAAATAAATAAATAAAATCTTAAAAAAAAAAAAAAAAAGTCTGAACTCCTTTCTGTGGATGATTCCGGAAGGTCCCTCCGGCTCTAAGAGTTCAGGACAGGGCCCCCTGGACTTGCTTTGACCCAGGTGTTTCTTGAAGGACAGACGTCCATGCCTTTCAGGGGCATAATTAAAGCCATGCTTCTTGAAGGAGCCAAAGTCATGTGTGCAAATCCCCTAGGACTGACCCAGACTGATCCAACACACTGAGCTCCCAGGTGTCCCAGCTGCCTTCTACCAGTGAACCTCAAGAAGGGGGCCTTGTAACCCTTAGACTTACAGGAAGAGCTGGAATGAAGGTCATGACGTAGTCCTGGGTAAGCCTATATGATGAAAAGAGAAAAAGGTGGCAGGGGTCTCCATTCCAAGGCCAGGGTAGGGAGGCTAAGCTAACTAACACCACCTCTCCCATTCTTGGCTCGTTCGGAATTAATGGGCTTATCGTGCTAGCGTGAATGTGGAAATGGACACATAGACCTTATCAACTTAGATCCCAGATGACCGCTCTTGGTTCTTCCAAATCTTTAAGCCTAGGAAAGGGTTTTTCAAACTCAGCACGATGGCCAGAGAATTCTCTACTGTGCTTTGAAAGAGGTTTTGTATTCTCTCTGGCTTCTCCCTATACCAGTTCTGACAACCAGAAGTACCTCCCAGCATTGCCAAATGTCCCCAGGTTCACAGCCACTGGTCGAGGACAAGAACTTATTTGAACTAAACCAGCAGACCTCAAACTTGGCAGATTAGAATCCTCTAGGGGAACTTTGAAAGATATTAATGCTCACACTGGCCCCCCAGGGGAATGCTAAGAAAGGGAGGGCGACCAGGTATGGGTGGGTTTTTCAAACACCCAGGTGACTTGCATTATCAGCCAAGGTCAAGAACCACAAACCGTGAACAAACGCCACAAACTACTACGTCAAGTGGAGAACGTTTGCAAGTCTTGTTTTGCTCCTGACTTTTTACCCTGAAGTCAACTCAAGTAAGGACCGGTGTAGACCTTGGGTGCCAGGTGTGGACAGCACCACAGCCTGGTGGAAGCCAGCTGGGGGGAATCCTTGGACCTCCCGCTCTCAGGGGTGGCCTTTGTAATTCCCAGAGGCTAAACTAGGACAGATCCATTTTTCTGCCCAGAGTGACCCAACCCCACCGTGGCGCGGGCCCACCTGACCTGGACACAGCCGGGTCCTGCCGGAAGAGCAGCAGGATTTGCTCGGTGTTGAGGAAGAGGGCCCAGCAGGGGAAGCAGCAGAGAAGAAGCACCAGGATCCCCCTTTGCAAGATGACCCCCACATGCTTCAGGTTCTGGCTCCCGTATGTCTAGGGGTGCAGTCAAAACAAACCCGTTAGCAGAGGAATGGTACCCCCCACACCCCTGGCCCCGCAAAGGCCTGCAATTGGGATCCATAAAGATGGTCCTAAGACTTTGCTGCACTCCTTAGGATTTCGTGGTTCTTAGACTTGGCTGCCCATTGGAATCACCTGGAGGGCCTTCTGAAAACCCCGATGCCACGGTCCCACCAAAGACAAGTCAGGATTTAACACCTGCAAGGTGGGGCCGCAGAGAGCAGTCATTCTTGAAAGCTCCCCATGAGATCCTAATGACCTATTGGTCAGCTGGAAACCTCTTAGTGATGCAGTATCCTGCTGCCTACCCCCCAAGCTCAGAGCAGAAACTCTGAGCTTCCATAGGCTTCCAAAAGCCAAACTGTGTAAGTCTCTCCCAGGGCCACGTTCAGTGATGTCTGTGTGGCAGCCTGAGATGGGCTCCAGAGAAAGTAGCTCCTTCTGCCACCGCAACGAGCAAACCATGCAGGTCAGGACATTTCCCTCCTCCCGCCCAAGACCTGGACATTCAACATTTACCAGCAGGCCACTGGTGGGAGACCCCCAGCCTGTTTTAACAAGCCCCCCACCACTCCCAGGTAGCTCAGGTGGGCACTCAAGTTTGAGAAGCACAGGACAGTGTCAAACTCAGGAATGTAGAAAGTACTGGGACTTGTACAAAGTATCCCCTTTGCAGTCAAAAGGATAAATACGGCTTCCCAAGCCCACAAGGCACCCGGCCACATTTCCAAGAAAGCAGGCAATGGAAAGCGGAATGGAGGGCTTGCTGTCCTGGAGTCCCTCCCTCTATGGACGAAACCCTCCCTTCCTGCCAGTAGGGCCCTCCCACTTGGAAGAGTCACCTGTGGTTTCCATTTACCTGGGACATGAGGGTGTCACAAGCAGAAGATAAGCCAAAGCCCACGGAGACACCAGCGACATTGATAACCTGGAAAGAAACGAAGACGGCCATGCAGAGTAAAAGGGAGGCAGGAAGGTGATTTCTCTGTCCGCCCAGATCAGAGGCTGCTGTGTACCTCCGGCAACCCTCCCAAGTCAGCTGACCCAGCCCTGTCCCTCCCCTGGAGCCCTTGCACAAACCCGCTGGGCCCACTAAAGGACGGGCACAAGTTTGGAGAGAGAAGAAAAAGTCTCAGCCAGAGGTCATTACCAAGCCCTTTCCTTCTGTAAGCCCTGGGCATTTTGATCCCCAATTTGGGGTTCCTCCCAATTTTAGGTTCGGACACCAGGATTTCACCTTCCAGTTCTGTATCATGGAGATGGAAGTGGGCACGGGAGCCAGAGCTCCACGGATTACAAATTCACTGATCTGGGAGAACGAACAACGGCCCTCCAGAGATGTCTGGTCTTAACCCCCGGATCCTGGGAAAATGTGAGATTACATGGCAAAGGAGAATTAGAGTTGCAAACAGAAAAAAGGGGACAGCCCAATCAACACCTTGCTTTTAGCCCAGCAAAGCCCATTTGAGACATCTGACCTCCAGGACCATAAGATAATGAACTGTGCTGGTTTAAGCCATTAAAGGATGGGAAGGAGCAAGAGGAAACCCATAAGGACAGCTTTCAGAAAGGCATGTTAGGAAGTCCTATACATACCGCGATCCCGAGGGTGACCGCGTCCAGCTCCAGCTTCCCCAGGTGGCCACAGAACACGGAGCTTATGAAACTGATCAGAAACACCATCAACTGTGCCAAGAACTTGCAAGAGACAGAAAAGGAGCCGCAGGTGAGTCCCAACCATCACAGCAGGAGAAGGGCATGACGTGCCGGCGGGAGCCCCCCCAAAATCAACTCTAGTCAGAAGTTAAGAAACAGGGGTGCCTGGGTGGTGCAGCTGGTTAAGCATCCGGTTCTTGGTTTCGGCTCAGGTTGTGATCTCAGGGTCCTGGGACCGAGCCCTGCATCAGGGGCTCTGCTCAGCGGGCAGCCTGCTTCCTCCTCTCTTCCTCTGCCTGCCTCTCTGCCTACTTGTAATCTCTGTCAAATAAATAAAATCTTAAAAAAAAAGAAAAGTAAAGGGGCGCCTGGGTGGCTCAGTGGGTTAAGCCTCTGCCTTCGGCTCAGGTCATGATCTCAGGGTCCTGGGATCAAGTCCCGCATTGGGCTCTCTGCTCAGCAGGGAGTTTGCTTCCTCCTCTCTCTCTGCCTGCCTATGATCTCTCTGTCAAATAAATAAAAAATTTAAAAAATTTAAAAAAAAAAAGTAAAGAAATTCTGCCATCATTGAGCCTCTGCCAACTTTCACAGGCAAATTTACAACTTCTGGTAGCTTTCTTGAAGGATATTAAAGAGTTTGTTTGCAATTGTGATCAGTATCACATCTTTGAGAACTTGCCCGTTTTCTGAGTTGATTTTTCACTTTGGATTCTCAGGCCGGAGATCACAGATCTATTTTCTCTGAAATTCTCAGAGGCTGCCTTCTGGGATAACCCCCTCATTATCTCAAATTCCCAAGGAGGCCTAGAGGGAATACAGCCTTCAAAAGTCAGCAAGAGGGGTGCCTGGGTGGCTCAGTGGGTTAATGGCTCTGCCTTCGGCTCTGGTCATGATCCCAGGGTCCTGGGATCGAACCCCGCATCGGGCTCTCTGCTCAGCAGGGAGCCTGCTTCTCCCCCTCTCTCTCTGCCTGCCTCTCTGACTACTTGTGATCTCTGTCAAATAAATAAATAAAACCTTTTAAAAAATGGGGTTCTTCAACCAGAAGATCAGCGGGTTCTGGAAATTGTGGGGTGAGAATCCCCCAGTCTGCCAAGCACCTTTAATTCCTGACTCCTTCAAGGGAAACAGACGTCTCTGCTCGCTAGCTGCGAGTCCCTGTTCTCAAATCCTGGTTTCAAGCTATTTGGGTGGGCTCTTGGCCATCGCACTGTGGTTCCCGCACAGGAGGGGCCCCTGGGGACATTGCTCAGCCCATCGATGCCCCGCCCTAGCTCAAGAGACATCCCAAACGTCTTTGGGGCTGTGGGATCTACCTTTCAACACCCCCACACCCACCGCATCCACACACCCAGTCAAGGACGAAACCCATCACGGGGCCCGCTGCCATGCCTGAGGAATTAGGCAATTCTGTTCCCCCCACGTGCCTCATGGATGGCTGTCTCAGCAACAGCCTGACTGGCAGGGTCTAGCTGTAGTCATATGCGCAAGCGAAATCATCAGACTGAGACCATGCCTCGGTTTCTTCCCGCCACTGACGCCCCGCTCGTGTTTTTACCCTGGCAGTATAAACAAAAGTCTTGCCACCTGCAGGCTTTGGAAGGGAGCTCCCCAGGGCCTGGAAGAAATGAAGCTCCACAGACACCTGAATGGTGAACAGGCAGGAGAAGGTGGGCTGTCCCTCTGTGCAAAATGTTCCAGGCAGAGGAAACAGAGCAGCAAGAAGGTGTGGGGTCTGAGGCAAGGCTGAGGGGAAGAACCAAACTCCTGATAGGAGCCAAACCCCACAGGACCTCACTAGACCAACAAAAGAGGGGTGACAAGCTCACACGCACATCCCCCCCAAAGAGGACTTTGGTGGTTGGCTCCACATGGAGCATTTAGGGTGCCTAGCTAAAAAGGGGAGAGGGCAGAGGGAGGCTGCCATGGTCCAGGCATGGAGCATGGATGGCGGAGGGGAGGTAAGGACCCCCAGGCCTCCCCCGCCCACCTTCCCCCACGCCCATCAGCCTTTGAAATGCCTCTCATTCTTGGAGACCTTTATTGCCTAAGCCTAGATCATCTTGTGCCTGTGGCAGGCAGCTTGCTTCTGCTGAGCCCTACATATGTCACCAAGGACTTTCCCCACTGCTTCTAGGATAAAAATCAAGCCATTAGCCTGCATGCCTTGTGTTTAGTCTGGCCCGTCCATCCAGCCGCCCCTCACCCTGCGGGGCCGGCTCTGGTCCTCCTGCCCTGCAGCCCTAGAAGGCTCTCCGGCTCCCTCTCAGGCAGTCCTTTCTGCACACGGGTGGAAACGAACTCTCTCAGTTTGGACCCAAGCTATTCCACTCTGTTTCCATCCTTGGCAATGCAGCGCACAGCCCATGCTCCTGGACAGAGTGCCATCCCTCTCTGGGATTATCTTCAGGACTCTGACCTGAGTCATATTACCTGAGTCGTGATAAAGGTAAAACACTTTAAAAAAAGGGGGGGGGGCGCCTGAGTGGCTCGGTGGGTTAAGCCTCTGCCTTCGGCTCAGGTCATGATCTCGGGGTCCTGGGATCGAGCCCCACATCGGGCTCTCTGCTCAGCAGGGAGCCTGCTTCCCCCTCTCTCTCTGCCTGCCTCTCTGCCTACTTGTGATCTCTTTCTGTCAAATAAATAAAATCTTAAAAAAAAAAAAAAATCCTAACGACCAGAAGGAAACATGACTGAAATGCCCAAGCCTAGGTACTACCAGCTACGTCTCTCTCACACAAATACGTTTTCTGCACGACAATTAGAACACGTAGCGACGTGTGTCCTGATATGCACCACTTTCCCTTGTGTTAGGAATATTCTCTCTACAGGCCTCACCGAAAGCGAGATGGGAGAGGGGTAAGGGAAGTCCGAACACCTAAGCCTGAAGCCTATCTCAGATCTCAAGGGCCCATGTTCACACGAGAGGCCTGGAAAGCAGATCGTGAATGGCAGAGACAAAATCAGAGAGAGGAAATTCAGACCAGGCATCCCACCTAACTGATGGTAGATCCTTGGAGAGCAGAGTATGGGACACGGAGCACAGGAGAAGGAGGCATCTATCTCCTCCCCCTCCAAGCCCCTCAGGAAATAGAATGCTCACAGCAGATGGAAACAGAGCTGTAGAAAGACCAAGAGGGGCTCCATATAGAATTCACAAGAAACTGACCAGGTGCCAGAACTCTAGGACGTCACTCGGTAAAGCCATCACATACAAATCCACTCTCAAAGGACTGGAAGGAAAATGCATTCCCAAATTATCTCTGTGGCGTTTTCCTTTGGTTGCCTGGGTTTTCTAGTCTTTTTCCTACAAGGACAAATATTAATTACATTCATAACTAACACAGTCCCATACATCTTTACACTGTACACGCACGAACATAAAGAACCAAGCATGTCAGGCTGGTGCCCGTCCTTGGAGACCTAGAAGGTCTCCCGCATCAAGGGGTACCAGGTTACTTTGGGGACCTGCAGAGACAAAGGACTGGTCCCCAGAGAGGCAGGGTCTCAGGAAGCTGCCTTGTGGTGTTTGTTGTTTTACTACATCAGTAACAGTCTTATGGAGAGAACTTTCTCACAGCTGCTCTGCGAGGGAAATCTGGGCACGGATTAGGAGCCTCAGTTTATGGATGGAAAAGCAGAGGCTAGAAGAGGGTAGGGACAGGGAATTACTCAAGGTCACACAGCTGTTTCCTAACCTGCCTTCTGAGATCAAAGCAGGGAACTGGGCCCCAGGTATGGAGAATGGAGATTCCAAACCATGCATTCTTTCCATTTTGCAAGAGAACTTCACAAACACCTTTTTGGTGGACGGATTTTTCGTTTCCTGGCTTTCTCCCTGGCGTTACTCTTGGCCCCTGCACAGCACAGCAGGTATCACACGATCCCACCAACAGCGGCGCCACCGTGCCAGGAACACGCACCAGCCCACCTTAACCTTCGCGAGTGCGGAATATCTACGCAGCCGCCCAAAACTTATCCCTTAAAACCACAACGGATTCTTCTTGTCCAATGAAATGACTCATTCCGCTTACTCGAAAACCACCCAAACGGTCAGGAAAACAGGGACGGGATTCTATTTCTTGTGGTTTTTAAAACCCACATAACTTTCAACTAGATAACCAGAAAAAACCCTAACCTAATGATGGGAAGAAACCTCAACCTCAAAGAGAACCACATAAAGACATTTAAAAAAAAATAAACTCACTAACGGGAGAATATGGGGCAGAAAAGGATGCCTCTGGTTTCCTTCTGCAGAGTCTGAGTAACTCTGAAGGTTTAGGAGATCTTGATCCAGGACAGACAATTTCACCCCCTTCCTCCCTGCCTCACGGAGGATAATTTATCTTAATTACTAATGTAGTTTAATTACTAGTTACTAAACGGCTAATTTAATTACCCTGTCTTGGGTGAATTTAGCTACCTGAAGTCCCAACTCGACAGCTAGTTCTCAAACAATGTCAAACGGTTCGGCGAACTTATTTGCTTGATGGAGTCCGCACCCCGAGAATGCGCCCGGGAGAGCCTGGAGGCGAGGAGGTGCCCGCTCCCTGGGGGCTCCCCACGCCCGGGCGGGTGCCAGCGGCGCGCCCTGTGCCAAGTGTGCCAGCCGCACCCCGCGGTCCGCCCTGGCGAGGGTGCAGAGCGCGAGACCCGGGACACACGCGGAGGCACCTGGACGCGCGCCTGCCCGGCTCTCTCTGGGCACCGCGTCCCCCGGCGCCCGCCCGCCGGCCGCCAGCTCGCTCGCTCCCTCCCCCCACTCCCCGGTCACCCGGGGCCACACGCGCGTCCCGGGTCCCCGACGCGCGGGGCCGACCTCCCACCGACACCGCCTTACTCACCGCGGGGCCCGCCAGAAGCAGGAGTGCTCGCGTCTCCTCTCGGAAGCCCGACAGCAGCGGGCAGCGCGGCCCGGGGCTCTCGGGGTCGGCCTCCTGGCCTCCCGGCCCGGGGCTCTCGGGGCCGGCCCCCTGGCCTCCCGGGCCGGCCCCCTGAACTCCCGGCCGGGGCTCCTCTACAGCCTCCATGCGCCTGGCGCT